GTTCATCGCGAGGCCTCGCGCACGCGCTCTGGCCTTGACTTTCCCAACCGGAGGAAGAAAAATGTAAATAAAAAAATAATAATAATCCATGTGCATCAGTGTAGCTCCACGTTTCACTCGTGTGTTTGTCTGCGCCTCTCGGGAAGTTCATGAACTCGCTCACTCTGGTCACGTGACTGGGGAGAACACAACAATGCAGCTTTATCATGAGCAGATTGGGATCCGTGGTTGGATTTGGCCCTAATAGCGGTTACTAATGCAGAAGTGGGGGCGCCGGGGGGAGCAATTGGACTTCAAATCAGATTCAGCATATAAATCACAGACTTTCATGGGGACTCGCAGGCAAACACATGATACTTGATTTATTTATAATGTCTTCTGGAGATGTTCTCGTGCTGAAACTCAGCAGTGTTTACGGCCAAGTGCTCGAGGGTTCTTTGTGTTAAAAAAAAAAAAGAAAAGTGTAAAATCAGGCTTTCGGTCCTGCAAAGTGGACGTCATCATCCTGCCATTTAGAGCCCACATTGAGTTCTGAGCAACATTTGAATGAAGTTTTTATTTTTTTTCCCACATATCACAGACTAAGAGCTCAGACACACGCGGTTCAATAGTTTTGGAGGCTGCATGATTTTATTCCGAGCATCGGTTTGCGAGATGTTCACAAAATGTGCAGGAAAGCGCTGCTGTTGCTCTACATTGTTTTTTTCTCTTCCTCCTGTTCCCCGCAGGGATGGTATTTAATGGGAATGTTGTGAGATTTGCCATTGATGTAGAGAGTTTTACTTCTGTTGCTTTAGGAGAAAAAAAGTAAAAGGACTTGTGGTTTCTTTGGTGTCTGCCTTGCGTTTATAGCAGGTTGATGGTTTAAGACATAAAATTCATCAGTTCTACAGATACAAGCATGGGGGGGGGTCATATTTACCTGCTGAGGCAAGTGTTAACATTGCATTAAATGCCACAGACGCGGGTGGGCTCACACACACACACACACACACACACACACACACACACCGGCAGATGTCACCCTGTAATGTGGAAAAAGAAAACAGCCTGATTGTTATCCACGCAGTCACATTCACCACTCCCATTGATAAGATCTCTTGCTCTCCAAGTTAGCGGGTAGCCGGCGGCGGCGGGGGGGGTAATAACTTGTCTTACTGGTCATTTGACCAATGTGGTGTTTGCTCTTTCGCTCTTATCTCATTTGACATCTCTCGCTCCGCGCCCGGCTTAAGTGCATATGCTTTTTTTTTAAATTAAATTTTCAGGCAGGTAGATCTGCGCTGTCTTTCTCTTCTTGCTAACGCACATGAGGCCCTGCATCCTCCTCGTCCACAGATGGCCAAGTAACTCGACCCAGACAGAGGCACTGTGGGAATTAAAAGAAATGAGAACACAAACACGCATGCACCCGCCAACAGAGATCAGGCCTGCACCTGCAGAGCCTCTCCCTTCAACCATCGAGAGAAAATAAGCTTAGTGTGTATGAGAAAGAAAGTGTTACTGCAAGCTGCACACTCTTTATTCTCACTTACACCCTAAACACGGGGGGGGGGGCGCTGGATGGAGGCCAACAGGTAGACCTGTTGTGTCTGGGCGGGGCGGCGTTGCATGTCCTCCTTGCGGGTGTGTGATACTGTGTATTAATGTGTGCGCTGTGCATGCGTGCCGAGGTGGACTCAATGACCTCATCAGTTTCCTCACTGAAATAAACGAAAGAGTCCCATGTTGACCCGCTCAAAACTCAAGGTCATAGAGGTTTCTCCGCCAAGGCGCCGGGCCACCCAGACCCCGCGTGTATAATGATGGATTCAGATGACAACCTGAGCGATGTCGCACATCAATGTTAACTTCTAGTGTGAGTGAAGGCTTTTTACCTCATTTATTTTATCAGTGATTTAAAAAAACCTAAAACTGGGTGCCCGGGATTTATATAATTATATATTTTAACCACTCTCTGAGTTATTGTTTTCCTTAAAGTGAGTCATTACAGCCAAAAGTTAAATTGGGTAAAATTTGGTTGATTGTCTCCAACACAAGAAGACCCGGTGAATGGAAGCACAAAGCACTGCCTGCTTATCTCAGATCTGTTTGTCATTCTTTTATTTTTTTAAATTTTATTTTAAAGAGGGATCTTTTACACGTCCGCTAAGCCAGTGAAAATATAAACCAACTGGTGGGCCAGATGCATTTCTTGGCCTCATCGCTGGAGCCGAGAAGGCTTCTTTTAAACTGTTTACGTCTTTGCTCCCCGCGGCCTTCGCAGAGCATGAACGGTCCGTGCTGCTACACACTGGCAACAATACAGGAAGTCTTCCTGCCTTTATGACTTCCTCCACGGACCACGGGAAACTCGCTGCATGTGAGACACGGAAATAACTTTCGCTCCCATAGCAGATGTGGGAATGTCAGTGCGATTCCGTGCTCCTCAATTGCTTCCTTCCCATCATTCAAACGGTTTAAATTGGACGCGAGTGAATTTTAGACGTGTGAAGGCCCAGTTGCCATAATTAAAGGACATAAGTAGTAGTAGTAGTTTCAGCTCAGGTAAACCTACTGAGCCAAAAGAAGCTCTGGATTACAGTCAGCAGGCTGCTAACGGCCTCTGCTAATCCTCAAAAAACCTTTCTCGCTTCTTTCCCCTTCTGCGGCGCGTTCGTACCGGGGGGGGGGGGGCTTTAGGGCAAAGTGAATCACCGCAGGCTGAATAAAGTTGAGTCCACGGGTGGATCCGACGGTCGGGCCGGTCCGCCGCACGCCATCTGAGGTCATTTGAGCCCCAAATACCAAAGCCCATGCAACGCTTTTTCTAATGTATTTCCAGCTCTCTTTCCTCACCGCCCACTCTTTCACATAGTGTACTTAGCCAGACAAAAAGCCTTTCTCTGCGCCTCCTCCCCCCCCAACAGAATCTCTCTCTCTCTCTCCTCACGAGAGAATGTTTGCCATGATTATGGATTTGTCTCTATTACAGGCTGCACGCAAAATTAGCCCCGCCGCTCCGTATAGCTGCCGGCCTGTCTGAGGAGAAAGGGAGGTCTGAACCGTAAGAAGTGCCACATGGAGTGAGGGAAGGGGAGAAGGGGGAGGAGGGGGCGAGGAGGGTTGTCTTGGGGGAGTGGGGTTGCGGGGGGACTGTGAGGCCTCTGTGCTTTTCCTTTTTTTCTTTTTTTTTTTTTCTTGTAAGCTCCCTGAAAACCGCAGACACATGGTACAGAATTCCCCTCACAGTAGGAGAGGAGGAGGAGGAGGAGGAGACACACACACTATGATAGACACACATACACTGGGAATATCATAGGCGAGCACACACACACATTCTGAAAGAACACACTCAGCTACACAAAAGGCAGCACTAGCAGGAGGGGAACTTTGAAGGAGCCGACAGGCCAACGCCTTGACAACATATCGTGGCACCTTAATACCTCCCAACCCTATGGGAAAGTGGATGGTTCCACTTTCCACGGGTATTTGTGTGGCGGCGGTAAGGAGGGGGGAGGGCCGGGGGGGTTAATCCAATGTACAATGTGTTTAACTTTGACCGACGGAGCCCTCAAACCCTCCCACTCTCTCTCCGGGGGCCCCTTTGAGCTCGTGGATCGAGGACAAGCGTAGGACTGGTATTCAGGAGGTGCTGGCCGGCTGGGGAAAAGGTGAAGGGTCAGGTGTTGTGTGAATGGACTCGTCGGGATCCGTGACGTGAGCTTAGCGTGGACTCGATGCCCTCAAGACCGAATGCTTGATGAGGGTGGAAGCAAAAACCTCAATTTTGATCTTAATTGTGAGCTTTTGCTTCTTTTTTTTAAAGCTCAAATAGACCTAAATCCATAACAGTAATTCTGCAATGTATCTAATCCTCTTTTGAGTCCCTTTGCTTCAAAGTACGGTCCCAAAACACACGAGAACATGCAGTACTTGATGTCACATCTGTGGTTAACAGAAATGGATGAGTAACGCCATCTAGTGGGATATCCAACATCTGCTCTTGGCACACATGCAGATGAACTCATTACAAGTATAAGGTGTAGCCAGTTTGGTTTCCACTAACATAAATAAGATATAAACGTAATGAGTAGCACGTTTTTGGGGTTGAACAAACATTCTATTACGGCCCATGTTCCCTTTACGGATGAAATCGTCAGGAAAAAACAACTCAATTACTAGTTTCTTTCTAAACAACTTTTTATTAATGGCTTTGGCAAAGTCACTGAAAGACCTTCAAACAGGGGGAGGAACAGGTTTTTTTTCCATCTCATAGCGTGTTAACCTAGAGACCAGCATGCTGAAACCCTCCTTGTAGGCTAGAAAGAGGTGGTGGAAAATCTGTGTCAGCACACTGAATAGCCAGCCCCTTCCCGGGAATGAGGACACGAGGATTGGGAATACAATCAATTTATACAAAGTATGACTTTCTTCTGCCTCCCCTTGCACTTATTATGCAAATAATTGACCAAATAAAGCAAACTGCCATCAGAAAAATCACGTTTTCACATTATCTTCCAGTGAGGGGAAAACTGTTTTAGGTCAACATTAGATAATGTTTTAATTAAAATGCAGTCATGATTTGTAAAACATATTTCAAAAAAGAATTCTCCGCATCTCTCGTCATCCCAGATAAATGTTCTTTTCCACAAAGAATCCACCAAAACAGATCTGTGGAAGCCATTTGAAAGACCATTTATTAAGTGTCTTCAGATGTCAAACAAACCATCCAAAATGCAAACATATTGACTATAATATATATTAAAGCATTACTAGTGGCCATATTATAGTCTCCGGATTAGATAATTGGCTAATAAACTAATCACGCTCTACAGACTCACAGAATTACCTAGTCATAAACACTATTCCTGTAAATAAGCTGCACCAAGACTAACAATTGGATTTACCAACATAATGTTTCCACATTGTTAACAACCCTATTTTTGACAAAACGGGCCTAGAATGGGTGAGATTAATTTTAAAAATGTTTTAAAAAAAGAAATCCAATACTAGCAAAGAATAGCTTCTATCTTTTATTGGGATTCCGCCGACAACATTACAATTTCAACACATTTCCCTCTCACATGTCCGCTTGGGGCAGTTCAATCGACTTGAAGGAGATGTTCCCGGTTGATATCCGGAGATACTCCAGCTCTGACGAATCCTCGCCGAGGCCCCGGCTCTCTGCGTCGTCAGACTGATCACCTGACCCGTCGTTAGACGACTGATCACCTGACCCGTCGTCGGACCCATCGAAACCACCGCTTCCGCTCCCTTCATCGTCCAGGAAGAACGCTGAGGTCTTCGTGCCGTTTTCTGCTCCTTTGCTTCTGACCGCCGGCTGGATTTCCTCCACGTCTTCAGGGCCTCCGCTAGGTTCGCCATCCTCTGATTCCAAGGCCCAAAAACCCGCTCCTTCCTCATCCTCTTCTGCTGCTGCTGCTGCTGCTGCTGCTGGTGCTTTTTCTTGCTTTGCTGTGGCCGTAGTGTTCGGTAAGTCGTCCTCTTTGGGCGATGCGGTCACTGTCCGAGTCCTAGCCTTGATGCGGCTGAACGAGGCGCTTCCGAGAATGTTGGCTTGGGCGATAGCTAAGACGGCGGCGGGCCGCTTGGACGGCTGGACTATGGCTTCCTTTCCGGCGTCGTCGATGCGAGGAGTGTCGTAGAGCTTCTTTGCTTTTGCGTGCACGCGTTTGCCTCTCACGGTGTTGATGGTGGAACCGTTGAACCGGCTCACCTTCATTCCCAAAAGTTCAGTCAGTTCTTGTTTTCTTGGCTCGAATTGCGGTCGGGATTCAGCTTCGGGTTCCCCTGCTCGTCTGAGATGAGCAGAGTTGATTTTAGGACTTTCTCGATTTCGTTTGTTGTCAGCAGCTTCCATTCTGTTTCGATAGGGCAGAAACCCCAAGAGCCTGCTGATCTTGCGTATCGTGTCATATTCGTCAGACGTATATCTGGAGACGGATCCGGGGGGTTCTGTTGAAAGTGGTTTGCGGGCTTCCCTGCTCGATGCGGCGCGGCCCGATGTGTTCACACGGCTGCTTTTCGGACGCAAGAACTGCGAGCTTCCAGGTTTATACCCTCCATAACCCTGCTGGAGTCCAGCAGACCCCGTGACTAAAGTTTGAGCTGTCTCGAGTGATCGAGTGCTGAATGCTTTGGGAGCATATATTCTCCTGTAGGTTCTGAACTGTCTGTGATGCGGCTCGCTCTCCACACCGGCAGTTACAAGTTCAGAATCCTCAAACCTTCTGGACCCATGAAGGCTTTTTATGGATTGTCCGGGGTTGGAGGCCTGCATTGATCCTCTTGGGGTTGCCTTGCTGAAGCTACTTACTGCAGATTTAATGTCGCCAGCCGCATGGTTTACCCGAGGTAAAGGGTCAAGACGTCCAGCGATGGCACCCGTCTGCGAAGCAGAGATTTTAGCAGTGTCTTGGTATTCAGCGTAACCATCCGTCAAAGCTTGATAATAATTGTCATTAGGATACAGTGGAGTGGCATTATCAAAGAGATAAAGTGCGTCCTTGGTTTGGGGTTTTCCTTGTGGTTGTTCTAATGATTCAACATAGGAAGAAGACCCGCCTACAACTTCAGAAGCCCTGTGCTTATGTGGTACCGAGGGAAGGGCAGCGGGTCCGTGGTAAGGGACTGCTGGAATTGTCTCATGTCCACCAAAAGCAGCCTGGGAGTCCTTGAATGGATAAAACTGGGTCTTTTGCAGTCTCGGCGTCTCGCTGCGGGACACTGAGGGAAACCCTTGGGAGATATTTGCGCCGGATGCCGTCAGCCTTTCTGGGCTGGGGAAGCTTTTAATGAGAGAGGCGTCTGAGATTCTGCGGATTGCGGAACCATTGAGTAGTCTCGCCTTCTTGGTGGAAATGTTAGTCAGGTCTTGTTTTCTCGGCACGAATTTCGGCTGGGTTTCAGCGGTGTGATCCCCTGCTCGTCTGAGATGAGCAGAGTTGATTTTGGGACTTTCTCGATTTTGTTTGTGTACTGTCTTGTCAGCATCTTCAATTCTATTTCGATAGGGCAGAAACCCCAAGAGATTGCTGATCTTGCGTATTGTGTCATATTCGTCAGATGTGTATCTGGAGACGGATCCATGGGTTTCTGACTCTAGAAGTGGTTTGGGGTCTTCCCTGCTCGGTGCAGCGCGGCCCGCTGCGTTCACACGGCTGCTTTTTGGACGCAAGAACTCTGCGACTCCACGTTTGTAACCTGCAAAATCCTGCTGGACTCTGGCGTTCTCACTGCCGGAAGTTTGGGCTGTCTCGAGTGACCGAGTACCGAATGCTTTGAGACCATATATTCCCCCGTAGGTTCTGAACTCTCTGTGATCTGGCTCCGTCTCACACGGTGTCACTCTGAGCAGCCGAGGCCGGGCTTCCTTATATCTCAATAGGAGGATCCTGTTGCGGGCCGAGAGAAGGTGAGGGGTAAGCTGTAGGAGTGCACTCAGGGTTTTACTAGTGCATCAGAGGCCTCCCTACGACCAAAGCTATACATCTGTGACAAAGAAGGGTTCATATTTGATATTGGATTGTCCATTCGCTTGTCGGAGTTCTGTACCCTGGAGTTTGTTCCTTCACTGGAGGAGAGAATAGGCGGCTCTTTGGCAGCTCTCCGTTCAGACTGCTCAAACCCTCTGGAGCCATGGAGGCTTTTAATGGATTGTCCAGGTGTGGAGGCCTGCGTTGATTCTCTTGGGGTCGCCTTGCTGAAGCTACTTACTGCAGATTTAATGTCGCCGACCGCATGGTTCCCCCGCAAATTTACACGACGCAAAGGGTTGAGGCGTCCAGCGATGGCGTCCATCCGCGGAGCAGAGATTTGAGCAGTGTTTTGGTATTCAGCATAACCATCCGCCTGAGCCTCATCATTGTCATTAGGATGCAGTGGATTGGCATTATTGACAAAGAGATGCAGTTGGTCCTTGGTTGGGGGTTTTCTTTGTGATTGTTGTACTGGTTTTACATAAGAAAATCTGCCTACAACATCCCTGTGCTTATGTGGCGCCGATGGAAGAGCAGCGGGTCCGCGGTAATGGACTGCTGGAACTGTCTCATGCCCACCAAAAGCAGACTGGGAGTCCTTGAACAGATAGGACTGGATATTTTGGAGTCTTGGCGTCTCGCTGCGAGACACAGAGGGAAACCCGTGGGAGAAATCTGCGACGGATGTCGTCAGCCTTTCTGGGTTGAGGCTGCTTTTAATAAGAGCGGCGTCCGAGATTTTGCGGATTGATGTTGGACGAGGGGACGTTTTTCTTGCGAGGGCGGCAGATTTGCTTGATTGAATCCCACTAGATGTCCTTTGCAGCCCAGCCGAAGTGAGCTCATTTGTCTTTTCATAGCCGCTATGAAGCACTCTTGAAGTTGGCAGTGAAGGGCTCCAATATCTACCAGTCTGAGAGGAAAAAAGAGGAGATTCATTTCCGGGAACTTTATCTTTGATGTAGGATTTCCGAGCTTCTCTGGCGTCCCAAACTTGTGAAGGGCTGGGGCGCTGATGGGAGGGACTAGTAGCCTCGTTATGAAATGATTTTCTAGTGTTAACTGGGTGTGAGTTATAAGAGAGCGTGGGGTAGCTGCTTGCTGCGTTCCTTCCATTCAGGACACTCGTTGTTCCTGTTCGGGACGGCTTGTTATCTGGAATGTTATTGTAACCAAGGCCACGTCCCGTCTGCGGAACCAGATTTGATTGATGGTAAATTATTGACGGGACTACTCTGTAATTCCCTCTATTCTCACTTTCAATGTTAGCTCCAGTTTGGAGGAATGGCTGACCAGCGTAAGGGGGACGGGTTGGATTGTGTGGAGAATACAGTCGTTTCAGGGTAAAGCGCTTCACTCCGCTGTCCACTTTTGTAGTTTTGGGACTGGCTGAAAGAGGAAAATAAAATCAGTTATTCTTTCAAAGTTGTGTTTTAAGGGCAAAGAATTTATGCAAACCGGTCCTATTGTATGTGCATTTAACAGCCTTATTTTAGTTACATGTAACTTGAAATCACTATGCCTCAATATCAAACACTTGTGACAGTTGGCATAAGTCCAACAGTCTTGCTTTACATTCTTGTGAAACAACATAAAACAGGCCGGTTTGAGTTGCTCACCTCTTGCAGCATCTGACGACATGGTGAAAGGCACAACAGCTACACAGACCAGTACCGAAACTAACAACAGTCTGCAGGAGTAAAAGAAAGAACCACCACAGGATAATTGCTGGAATTTTATGAGAATATTAATGCTGTGAATCAAAAGTAATCACCCACCCCTTTCAAATGTTAACAAAAGAAAAGCTTGTTAAATCAATGATTACCTTGAGTAGAGCGCAGAGGATTCCAACATGATGGACAGCTTTTTCCACAGGGTTTCCGAGTGCCGACGTGCTGCTGTCAATCCTCGAGCGTCACTTGTCACACTGGAGACTCACATGGAGGTTCGGCGCTCGGCTGCTGGTCGTGAGTCTGATTGGATGCAATGCTGTTCAGCTGGGCTCAAGAAACCCTCTTAGATCTCGGTGTGAAGGAGGGCTTCCCATATTGGCCCACGTCGTGTAAAGTACCAGATCATTTATTTTACCCAGTTAAAGTGTATTTTTCTTTTCCCTTTCTTTGAGGAGAAGAATACATTTGCCTCCTCGCTTTGTAAAGTCAGTTTAGACCTATAGAGACTTTATGCAATTATTTTAGCTGTATTTTGGAGACACTGTCTCTCACATAAAGACACACACTTGATTCTATGTGGCACGGACTCAACCAAATTCCCAATAAAAGAGCTTCAAATTGAATGTAAAACAACTCATTTATTTTTCATTAAATATGTAACAATAATACAAAAAAATACATTCATGATAATAGTAAGAACCATATACATTGTGCAATAATAGGCCCACAAAAGGCCACTTCGGCAACTCAGAAGTTTTCCATTTTTCTTTTGTCATACGTGTGCAACGGCTACATAGTGGTAGCTATTAAACCTGCAATCGGAAAGCGCAAAAGCTCGCTTGAATAATGGCTGGCTGTGGTTTAGCCAGCATGGTTTCGTCACATCATCATCAAAAGTTCATGTTGCAGAGGAGAACCATTGGAAATAAATAGTTTCACATCAGTCCAGGTATCTGAAGTTGTGGACTCTTTAAAACATGTAGATGGACATCAAGGCGAGGTCCCTCATGTTCTCACCGCTCATACAGTCTGTTGAAAGGAAAACAGGACACATTAGAAAATGATCTGTATTCATTCACACTTTATTCATCCAAATTAAACTTTTTCTTCTTTCTTTATTTTTTATAAAAAATAACTGAAATGCAAATGTAAAAAGGATGGATGACACTGAAATCATTATGCCTCTTCAGTCCCTTCAATAAATAATATGTAACTTATAATAATACGTATGTGTACACAACATTAATAAGTAAAGGATACCATATTCCACGAAATTGAAAAGTAGCCTAACATTTTGGTGAATGTCTGAAGCGTGCACTTTTACTCTGACGGTTATTTTCTGGTATTTTTTACACACCGCACCCTAACGGACAATATCACTTCCAAGTAATCTGATATGAATCTAGTGAGGAACCATCATCGGCTGGAACGTGAAAAACGCGTTTCGAGCCGCAAGGAGCCGTCGACTCACCATCTCGGCTCCTCCTCTTCCCGCTGATCGACCTCCAGACGCGCCTCCAGCCCCCCCGGAGCCTCCCGCCTCTGGAGCCCGAGGAGAAGTCGCCCTCCTCGGCTGGAGTCTCGGGAAGCGTCGGCTCATGACAAACCCGACCGACCGGACCCTCCTCCTCTTCCTCCTCCTCCTCCTCCTCCTCCTGGTCGAGGACCCCGCAGACTATCAGCCGCTCCAGGACGCACTCATCCACCCTCAGCTCGGCCCTCACGTCCGCCCCGTCCCCGGAGATGGAGGTGGCGTGTCGGCACAGCGGGCACACGATGAGTCGTTGGGCCCCCAGGGGTCGCGAGAGGGCCCGCAGGCAGCTCTCGCAGAAGCTGTGTTTGCAGTGGAGCTCCCGGGGACACCGGCGGCCCGCGTTGAAGGTCCGGTAACAAACGCCGCACTCGTGCTCTCTGGAGTCCATCCTTGCCTCCGGTCGCGGGTGACTCCTCCGGTGAAGGCGCGAGCAGTAAATGAACGAGGAGGCGCGCTTTGGAGTTTATAACGCGGGTCGGCGGAGCGCGTGTGGGCGTGGGACTGGACGAAACTGGATTTGAGTCAGACAAACGCATGAGTCACGATACTACAAATAAATACATTGACGTCACCGACAGCATGACGACACACACACACACACACACACACACACACACACACACACACACACACACACACACACACTGTTGTTCTTCAGCACTCCACGCCTTCACTTCAGTGTGTGGGCGAGAGAAGTGACGTCACTTCTTTTCCTCCCCATGGTAATCCCCAAACAGATCTCATGTCCCGGCATGAACTCCTTTCATGGCGATATCCGCTAAAACGCTGCAGGCCAACAATCACAACCTCCCTCTCTCTCTTTGTCAATTATTTAGACCTTCCCGCTTTGCCCGCCTCTTAAATTTACTGTAACTTGATGTTTTTCTTAGGCCGAGGACAATGAACAATGGACGAGGCTTCACTCTTTCGGCGTTGATTATCAACATTTTTACATTACTGACTCAAAAGAACAGGAAACAGAAAGTGCAACATTTCACAGTAATAGGCTGTTTTGTTCATTTCTCTAGAGCTACTAAATTAAACTCGATCAAGTGCATTATTATTGTACTGTAATAATGTTGACTTGTCACGTTCAGTCTGGAAATCACAGCAGGCCCGTTGGCCTCGCTGGAAATGAAATCTAGACTTTGAAATCAATCAACTTTCAAAGTATTGCTGACGTGGTGGTCATTGTTATCATTGCTCATGCTGTCTATTGCTGCTGTAAATACATTTTAAGAGTCGTAATCTGCAGATAAATGCTTATTGAACAGACAGAGTCGAGTAAAATCCATCCTGTGTGCTTTTCACAAAGGGGCTTTATTGACTGAGACACTTTCTCAAAATGGGAATTGTGATTCTAAAAACTCACAGCTTCTGTTCAACTTTAGATACCCCATTAATCAGTTTAACACTTGTGAAAGTCAATTTAATAGCTATGTTTTGTTTACACGGTTCAGTCGGCCTGTGCGGGACAATTTGTCCACAAAGAAATCATCATTCACTTGCGACACATTGTGTCCCTTATTTACCCTTGTTTGTAGCCATCGACACCTACTAGCCTGCACAATGTGGAGATAATGTTCTTCTTTTTAAGTATTGACTTTTGAGGCACAGAAACAAAAGGATGGAGATGATCGCACCCTGATTCCCACCTTGTGTGAAGCATAACAACATAAAACGCAAGTAGTCAGTCGACTCTGAACCTGTCCTATTCTGTCTCGTGTGTCCTGGTTACCTTCACATCACCGAGGGGTTTAATTACCCGTGAGCAAAGCACAGGGACGGGTGGGGTGGGGCCTTGGCAGGGTGGGGAGGACGAGTTCCATCAGGTTGGATGGAAAAACCAGAGCGTTGCGAGTGGGCCTCAGAGGTGCAGAGGTGTGAGCGCTTAACGTGCCCACAGAAGAGGGAGGAAGACGGCCTGCCAGCATGAGGTCCGTGCACCAGCATGACGACAAGTGAGGACAGCGAGAGGGGTCGGAGGTCAAAGGGTGCACCTATCCAAGGGGGGAGTGCGGCGGGTAAGTGGCTCTCTTATCTGCTTCTGAGGTGCAAAGACGGCTGACGCTGGCGAGCTTGTTTATTCACAATACTGGTTTCAACATATTGTCTACCGCTTCATCTGTATTCAAATACACTTTCACATACACTCACTAGTCGCTCATATATGCAACAACTGGAACCTTCTGACCCTTCATGTCTAGTAAACACGCGTTTCAAAGTCCATGCTGTCTGTTTATATCACAGGCATAAGATAGGCCGAGTTCAATTTCACCATTAGCTTTATCTTCTCTAACATAAAACAGTTTTGTTCCCTATATGCAAGTGAAGAAAAGTGGACCTACCGATACCCTCAGTGACTCATTACTTCCTTTTACAGCTTCTCTTTTTCTTCTCATTCCCATATTTCCTTGATAGGACCCGAGTGAGCAGGCCAGCACACACTCCAGCCATCCACTGAGCAGACAGTAGATGGCTGTGTGGTTAAAAGGAACCAATGCTCTGACTCATGTGCTGCGGAATCCGTCCATAAAATCTCAGAAGAAACAAAGCACATCTCAAGGAGAGCAGATCCTGACATTTCAAATAATAAGACGCACATGAGCCTCTGGGGTTCTAGCAGCCTTAGTTAAGGTTCTTTTCTCCTCGCAGATTTTACGGCCCTCTGCTAAAGAGTGGTCTACAACTTGCGGTCTTTCCATCACTGAGCCCCCTCCCCTCACCCACCATGTTGGGGGGTGTGGTCCCTGCTGCTCAGCAGGGGGGCCTCATTCCACTCTGCACACTAGTTGTTCCTGCTCAGGACGGTCTGTTATCTGGATGGTTATTGTAACAGGGGCTTCCTACCGTTAGCCAAACCGGACTTGATTGATAGTAAATCATTGACTACACTGTAGTTCCTTCTCTTTGCGCTTTCAGTGTTAGCTCCAGTTTGGACGGATGGCTGACCAGTGAAGCAGGGACGGGTTGGACTGTGTGGCCTCATGTGACCCTCTTAGATCTCTGTGTGAAGGAGAGCTTTGCATATTGGCCCACGTCGTGTAAAGTACCCGATCATTTATTTTACCCAGTTAAAGTGTATTTTTCTTTTCCCTTTCTTTCAACAGAAGAATACATTTGCCTCCTCGCTTTACTTTGTAAAGTCAGTTTATACCAGGGGACTCAAACTCGCGGCCCGCGGGCCAATTGCGGCCCTCGGGGACGATATATTGTGGCCCCCGCCTTCATATGAAAGTGTAATGTTAGTGCGGCCCGCGAGTTCTATATTGTAGCAACCTCGCTGTTAGCAGCCACTTATAACCTCCACCCCAGCGCCGACCGTTCCGTTCGCCGGTCGGACCGTCAGTGTCTTCCCCCCCGTCGGCCATAATGGTCTGGCCCGCGTTCGGTCGAGGTGGGCTGCATCTGGCCCGTACCTGACTTGAGTTTGAGACCCCTGGTTTATACCTACAGAGACTTGATGCAATTATTTTAGCACACACTCGACTAGGTCTCGACTCTTCGCTGTCCTTGCGCCGAAATGGTGGAACGAGCTCTCTGAAGACATCAGGACCGCAGAGAGCCTCCACATCTTCCGCCGCAAACTAAAGACACACCTCTTCAGACTCTACCTCGACTAAAGACTAACAAATTGTAGCACTTAAATTGTACTTGTAACGTCACTCATCTATAGCAAATTGTAAATTGGCTTATTTGCGGAATTGCACTTTCATGTTTCTTGTTCTCCTGAGTTTGTACCCTATGGTTGAATGCACTTACTGTACGTCGCTTTGGATAAAAGCGTCAGCTAAATGACATGTAATGTAATGTAAATGTAATTTTTTTGTGACACTGAATCAACTAAATTCTTATTTAAAAAAAAAAGCTTAAAATTGAATTTAAAACCAGAACTCCTTTATTTTTCCCTAAATATGTAACAATAATGCAAAATGAAATACATTCATGAGAATAGTAAGAACCATATACATTGTGCAATATACGCCCACAAAGTTTCCATTTTTCTTTTGTCATACGTGTGCAACGGCTACATAGTGGTAATTATTTAAACCTGCAATCAGAAAGCTCAAAACCTCACCTGAATTATGACTGGTTGTTTGTTTTTCCAGCATGGTTTCATCACATCATCATCATCAAAAGTTCATGTTGCAGAGGAGAACCATTGGAGATGAATACAGTTTAACATCAGGTATCTGAAGTTGGGGACTCTTTTAAACAGCCACGGCAAGTCAAAGCAGTTGTATATCTCCACGTGAAAATAGTACATTAATTCTGTTAAAAAGGAAAACATTACACATTAGGAAACAATCTGTATTCATTTACAGTGTAATAATTCAAATTAAACTTTTTCTTCTGTTTTTTTAAAATAACAAATTAACTAAATTGTGTAACGGCGAAATGTGGCACAGTCTACACATTAAGGATGGATGACACTGAGATCGCTAGATGACTCTTCAGTCCCTTCAATAAAAAAGTATCATAATAATATAATATGTATCTTAACAATTCATGTGTGTACACAACAAGTAAAGGCTACCATAGGTCCTTTTTGATACTTAAGTAGTATACAATTTTGGTAAATGACTGAGTTGTGCAATCAAACGCTGGACTGTTGTATTTTTTTGTATTTCTTACACTACATTCCCTGATGCTATCTGAAGATGAATGTAGTGAGCAACCAACATTGGCTGGACACAAAGCCCCTGTTGCCTGTGGAGCCCGTGGAGAAGTCGCTCTCCTTGGCTGGAGTCTGGGGAAGCATCGGCCCCCGGCTCTCCCGACAACCGGCTTGAACGCGACCGACGGGGCCCTCCTCTTCCTCCTCTTCCTCCTTCTCCTGGTCGAGGACCTCGGAGACTAGCGGCTCCCTCAGCTCAGATGTCACCTCCGTCTCGTCCCCGGAGATGGAGGTGGTGTGTCGGCACACGATTTAGTCTTAATCTTCAGCTAAATGTTTATTGAACAGACAGAGTCGAGTGAAACCCATCCTGTGTGCTTTTCACAGACGGGCTTTTTTGATTTGGACACTTTCTCAAAGTGGGAAATGTGTTACTAAAAACTCACAGCTTCTGTTGAACTTTGGATCCTAAAGCAGGAAAATTCTGCTGGTATTTATCTTTTGTTATTTACCAAATGTTGAACTTCCAAGGCCGCTTTAAAGAGGTGGAAATATTTTGAATTTGGTGGTTGTAAAACGTTCCTAAACCACATGACCATTACATTCTCATTACGTGTGTCTGGTCTATTCCTCTTAATAACTTCTGGCTTAAAGAACTCTCCCAAATGTCTGCACGCACCAGGCTCAAAGTAACCTCAGGGGAACTCATTTTACCCCATTAATCTGTTTCAAATGTTAAAGCTAATTTAATAGCTATGTTTTGTTTATGCGGTTCAGTCAGGCTGAAAATTGCAGAGTGGGCGTCTGTACGGGACAAAGAAATCATTCGGTCGGATTTGTCCGTCAATAATTCACTTGCGACACATTGTGTCCCTTATTTACCCTTGTTTGTAGCCATCGACACCTACTAGCCTGCACAATGTGGAGATAATGTTCTTCTTTTTAAGTATTGACTTAAACGACTGACTTTTGAGGCACAGAAACAAAAGGATGGAGATAATCGCACCCTGATTCCCACCTCGTGTGAAGCATAACAACATCAAACGCAAGTAGTCAGTCGACTCTGAACCTGTCCTATTCTGTCTTCTGTGTCCTGGTTACCTTCACATCACCGAGGGGTTTAATTACCCCTGAGCAAAGCACAGGGACGGGCGGGGCTGGGTGGGGCGGGGAGGACGAGCTCCATCAGGTTGGATGGAAAAACCAGAGCGTTGCGAGTGGGCCTCAGAGGTGCAGAGGTGTGAGCGCTTAACGTGCCCAGAGAAGAGGGAGGAAGACGCGCTGCCAGCATGAGGTTCGTGCACCAGCATGACGACAAGTGAGGACAGCGAGAGGGGTCGGAGGTCAAAGGGTGCACCGATCCAAGGGGAGAGTGCGGCGGGTAAGTGGCTCTCTTATCTGCTTCTGAGGTGTAAAGACGGATCGCTGCCAGCTGCCCGTCAGGATCATCTCGCCAAACCCGATGGCCGACGCCGCCGAGCTCGTTTATTCACAGCACTGGTTTCAACAGGTTGTCGTTGTGCCGGTTGCTCACCCTGCACATCCGTTCGTTCATATTTAAATACACTCACAGTACACTTGTGTATAGTACCGGTTTTGCCTATGCACTTTATTGTTTTAACTTTGTATTCGTTAAATATTTTATATTCTTTTGAAAAACTATAAATTCAATATATTCATGCTCCATTTTTCATATTCATATTCATATTTCTTGCACTGTGTTAATTTGGCTTATTGCCCATAGACCATCCATCCTGACAAACTCGTTTGGGACATAATTGGCAATAAATAGTTCTGATTCTGATTACGTACAAGTGATTTTTTTGGAGGTAACAAAACATTCTGATTGTCCTTTTGTAAATTATATTCGAGCTCCTGCGTTTGAGCCGATTCTGTCGTGTATCAATTCAAAGGAGACCCCCCGTCTGCTTAGCAACGATCCCCCAATGAGGGATCTTGGCTTGTTGTTCCATGCGACAAACCAAAACAAAAAAAGAAGAGGGGTTGGTACAGTAAAACAAGTCTTAAGAATAAATTAACGGGAAATGTTTTCCTAATCTGTCTAGAAAAACTGAACATTAAAATCAAACGCAGTTTGCGGATTTTTTCTGTTGCCTTTCAAAAAGGTTACCTTTTCCAGTTGTTTCCAGTCCTAATGCTAAGCTAAGCTAACCAGCTGCTGGCTGAGAGGCATCCATCTTTTTTTACCAAACTCTTTGTCTACCAGGCTCAGCAGCTCGCAATGGTTTAATGTCCTCATTTCAAGTGTTCTTTCCGTGTTAAACGGCCACTGGCACAACTTTTTATTTTTGTGTTGAATGAATTTTTGTGGGATCATATTTCACATATATGCTACTCACTATAGTCATTCATATGTGCCACTTACTCAAGTGTTTTTCTGACCCTTCATGTCTAGTAAACACGCGTTTCAAAGTCCATGCTGTCTGTTTATATCACATGCATAATATAGGCCGAGTTCAATTTCACCATTAGCTTTATCTTCTCTAACATAAAACAGTTTTGTTCCCTATATGCAAGTGAAGAAAAGTGGACCTACCGATACCCTCAGTGACTCATTACTTCCTTTTACAGCTTCTCTTTTTCTTCTCATTCCCATATTTCCTTGATAGGGCTCGAGTGAGCAGGCCAGCACACACTCCAGCCATCTACTGAGCAGACAGTAGATGGCTGTGTGGTTAAAAGGAACCAATGCTCTGACTCATGTGCTGCGGGATCCGTCCATAAAATCTCAGAAGAAACAAAGCACATCTCAAGGAGAGCAGATCCTGACATTTCAAATAATAAGACGCACATGAGCCTCTGGGGTTCTAGCAGCCTTAGTTAAGGCTCTTTTCTCCTCGCAGATTTTACGGCCCTCTGCTCGTCGTCCACAACTTGCGGTCTTGCCATCACTGAGCCCCCTCCCCTCACCCACCATGATGGGGGGTGTGGTCCCTGCTGCTCAGCAGGGGGGCCCCAGCCTCAGCACCGCCACCGGGGAACCCGCGGATGTGGAGTGTCCCGTCTGCTACCAGGAGTACAACCAGCACAACAAGTGCCCCCGGATGCTGGAGTGCCTCCACGTGTTCTGCACCGAGTGCCTCGGAAGGATCCAGCTGTGTTCCCTCGTGCAGCCCCCCGAGGCGGGCAGCACGCCGGCCCTCCCCTGCCCCCTCTGCCGCCACCTCACCCCTCTGGAGACCGGAAACGCCCTCTGCTTGCCCCGCAACTCGCGCATCCTGGCCAGGCTGCCCCCCGCGGCCTCCAGGCTGCCCAGTGCCGGGCAGGCGGCCCGCCTGGCCACCGTCACCCAGAGGGTGGTGCTCTCTCTGGAGGGCGACGGCAGAGACTCCCGGTTCATCATCCTGCCCACGGTCAGCCTGCGGGTGCAGCAGATGCACCCGGGCAGGCCGTGCGGCGCGGCGCCGGGCCTGGCGGGCGAGGACGAGGTCATCCGGCAGAGCAGGAAGACGCTGTTCTGCGTGCAGCTGCTGGCCGTCACCTTCTGGGTGCTGTTTGTGATCGCCTGCGTGGGCGTGGTGATGTTTGGTCCGCACATTTTCAACACGAAGCATTAGAAGGAAATGGGGGTCGTCTTTTAAGGGTTGTGATGTAGTCGCGCGACAAATAGTAGGTTGGCACGTGACATTTTAGAGAATCAAAGCCACATGGCTACTCTCCCTGTTGTAATGGGACCAGCTGAAATCCTACTTTTAACGCCACCAATCCTCTGTGATCCTCAATCCCTGCACTGCATATTTGAGAGTTCCCTCTAGTGGTTTATTTAGTAACTGTAAATAAAAGATTAAACACTGACTGTGCTTCAGTGGTTCTTGGTTGTTCTTGTTATTACACATTTAAACAATGTCCTGCCAATGCATACATTAAATAAAGCTACACATTTACACTATGTCGGGTGATTACATTTCATTTTGAAAATAACCAAAATTGTCACTGGTAAGTGCTGGTGTGGATTTGTTTCTTCATGGATTGATGTTTTGTTCCTCTGGCGTATTAAAGCAGAAATATTATGTTACTCCGAAGTTTCAATCGCATGTGGGACAGAAACAGCTTTGGTTTTACAGGGCCCCTTAAGCACTTACGTTCTTGTTTGTTGTAATTTGGTGAAATTAAATGATTTTATTTAATACTAATACAGGGCCCCTAACTAAATAGGCAATACTGAAAACAAAAAAATAAAAATACTGAAAGCAATATTTTTTCTTCTATCTTCATTTTTAAGGCAAATATTTACATCCTTTACATTTAGATTTGCAAATGTAGATTATAAATTCAAACTATAAATCACTTCATAAATGATGTACACATAAATGTATCAAAAATAATGATGCAGTGATACAATATATTAAATCAATCAATTCAACATAAAGTGAAAAAAGAGTACTTTTACTTTTGTATGTTAGTAAAGCAGTACCTTTGCTTATAACAGAGTACTTTAACAAAATACTATTGTTCATTTAAAAAAATCTAATACGTATTATACCTCTTCTATTTTTCTCTCATTAACACAAATCACACAAGTCAGAGGGTGGAGTTGGGAAGCGTACGTAAACAAAGTGGGCGGGGTTACGTGTTTACGTCACACGCCGCGTCGGCTCGCAAAAAGTGGCAAAAAAGTTTCTCGACCCCCCCGCCCGCCCCCCTCCTCCCTCCCCCCTTCTCCCCTGTATGTTTTTGTTAGGGGAAAAGTTGCTGGTAGGTAGCTAATAACGTTAGGTCGTGTGGATGTAGCGTGTCCGTCGTGTTTCGCCCCTCGGGTAACAATGCGGGGGTCTGCGAGCGTTTGACTTACGAAAAAAAAAAAAGGAAAAGTCGGAGAGCGAGCGAGGGGCTTCGCGGAGCTTCACGTCCCATCTGGCCCGGATCCGAAAAAAAAAATCTCAGTGGCCATCATCGTTTCACCTCTGCCGTCTCGTTAGCCACCTAGCTAGCTCCGCCACTAGCCTAGCCGCTAGCACCGTTAACTTACCTCCGCGAAGTTAACGCCGCCTCGCCTCACGGCGCGTCTCTCGTTGGCGGCTTCTGGCTCGGGGGAGAATAAAGCCACCGCAGAGATGGCGGAAACCAAAATAATCTACCACATCGACGAAGAGGAGACGCCGTATTTGGTGAAGATACCCATCGCAGCCGAAAATATCACTTTGCTGGATTTTAAACAGGTCTTGAACAAGCCGAACTACAAATTCTTCTTCAAGTCTATGGACCAGGACTTCGGGTGAGCTGCTGTGATTTTTCTCCCCCCTTTGTCCTTTTATGTTATAGATGGTAACGAGTTGTAAAAGCTTCTCAAGAACTTTTAATTGTTAAAAGTTTTACTTGTGTCTTTTTTTAATTATCTGAGTGGAGGAGCATCGACGTGACGCAAATAACAGTGAAAAAAAATGCGTGGCTAATATGTATGTTTGACATATTTTGGCTAATAAATATTTCCCTAATATAAAATTAACTAACTAAATCATAATGAACTCGACAACATCTAAACTTTGAATGCAGGTCGCCATTGAATCCCTAATCCCAACCCGCCAAGTTATCGCCACTAGTGATGAATATCCGAGTGGTTGCATAAATAATAAAAGGTACGGAAGCCGGGATGGGCTTTTTTTTACCTCGGGAAAACATCATCATTACAATGGGAGCGTTCCCTGCTGCTTTTCCTTACCCCTAATCCTCACCCCATCCTCCCTCCCTCCTCCAGTTCATCATCTGGTGAAATCCTTGCCTTTTTTCTCTCTTTTGGGACTGAAGCCAGGTTTTTCTTTGACACTTTGCTCTGCCAGCTATCCTTTCACCCTCTCACCCCCCCTTTTTCTCCCAATCCACTCCTCCAGAAAGAGCTGTCTCCTCTCCCCTATCAATTCATCTTTCCCTTCCTCCTTTTCCGTCTAGCCGCTGTGCGTTTCCCTGCAAAAGAATGCATGTTTGCGGTTCAATCCCCCCCCCCCAGCGATACCCCTTTGGGGCTTCTGCTAAATGCGTTGTAGTGTTGGATGATGGTTTAAAGACCGGGGGCCATTTGCCCCTCTTTTCCTCTGTTGGATGGCACCATCAGAGCCTGTGCCGAGGAAGCTGCTGTGTCTGAAAACATCAAGTTGAAAGACAGTGGGAATAAATAACGGCAACTACAGATTTCCGAGATGTTCCTGAGGACATCTGCGTTGTGCGTGCTGTAAAGCTACTCGAGGTCCGGTTGTTGAAGTGATTAGTTGAGTAATCGGTGAAAAATGCGACGGGCTATTTTGGTTATTTGTTAAGTGAAATGAGGTGATCTGCTTGCTTCTCACTTTTTTTCTCACTGTAAATGGTGCTTTGTTTCAGTGTGCAGGCGAGGCTCCGACGTGACTTCGGGCTCCGGCAGCGTTTCATAACAAAAGTAGATGATACGTTGTGGAAATAACCGTTTGTAGCCCAAAAGCCGCTTCAGGTGAACCTTTCTTCTGTGAATGCGTGAAATTGAGTTCACGGTCCACTCGGCTTGTGCAGAAATGTTCTTTAGGGCTGCAGTTTGGGATTATTATCCTCTCAATCGGTTTCCTCGATTCATTGTTGGGCCAAATGGATGTCAGAATAGTGTGAAAAATGTACAGTCATTTGGCTAATGGTGTTTAGACTCCTCTTGTCTCTAGAAGTCAAACAAATTCAACCTTTTTGAAAAGACCGTACACATCTTTTAAAGTAGTTTAAACAGAACATTAGAAATGTACAATTTTCTGGTGAAACTGAAACGTTTTATTTGCGATATCATCTGCAAAGTAATCTACTTTTTACACTTAATTATTTTTTTCTGGAGTCGTCTGTCTGATGAGGAGCTCGTCCCCGTGTTGATGGGACGCGTTTAGACCTCGTGTGCGTGGAAGCGTCTTCGAGAGTCTCTCTCTCGCTCTCTCGCTCTCTCGCTCTCTCTCTCTCTCTCTCTCTCTCTGCAGAGCAAGGGAAGCCTTCCATAGAGAGAAACATTCCCACCTTTCAGCAAATAAAACAAACAAACATTCAAACATAGCTCTGAGTCAGCTGTCCAGTCAAAACCAGGGAGAGAGGAGTGCGTAATAGTGTGTGTTTTCATTTGCCCTGGTATGAGGCCAGCTGTCGAGGTGTGTGTGCCGGGGGGGGATCCAGGGAGCAGGCAGGACCGGACCGGTGCTGAGAACCCGGGGTTGGTCACAGAGTGTTTGCTGGGTGTCGGGACTTTCCAGTACGATAAAGAAGGTGTTTCGGGGGGGTGAAGGTTATTAGATATTCTTCAGTGTAGCTCTGCGGGTGAAGCTCTGCTGGTCTGAAGTATTTCATAGTAGCAGGAGACGGGGCAATTGAGAAAGTCCGGTCGGGGGGGGGGGGGGCTTGTTTATTAAATCCACCAGGTCTCTGCATGCTTCAGGCTTGTTTGTGCATTATTTAGAGTGTGTGTTAAATGACTGCGGCCCCTTGTTTGTTCGGAGGGACGTGGAATGAAGACAATTCCGCTCTCGGGAAGAATGCAGCATCTGCTCTTTCTGCTGCCCGGATGCAGTTTCTCACAGCGCGATGGGGGGGGGGGGGGGGCAACGTAGCCACTCGCTGCGCTCGAATGCAAATAAAATATCACCCACGCGGTGCCCACAACAATCTGTCCACATAGCTCACAACACCTGGGGAAGGGGGAAAAAACTTAACAACTACCATAATAACAGAGTGGGAGTGGGGGAGGGGGGGGGGGGGGGGTAGGTACACAGTCGATAACAAATGTTTTGTCTTTCGGGCTAAACACATGGAGGAAGACTACTGGAGGAGGGAGGGAGGGAGGGAGGGAGGTGTCTGCTTTGAGGCGCTTTGGCCTTCGGACATCCCACCACATCTTGCCTCTTTGTTTGTGCTTTACCTGCACTGCTTGTGGGGGGGGGGACTACAGAACAAGCCCCTGTGATTTAGTTCCGCCGTGTTGTTGTGACGGCCCTACGTGCATCCTCATTTGATGTGTCCGTAATGTAAACTGTTCCATGTGCCGGCAGTTTTCTCCTTCCTGTCCTCCCGAGCAGACTGAATTGGGAGGGGGGCGCGTTAGGAAGCCTCCCCGAGCCTCACTGTGTGTCCCTCTGCTTTTCCTCAGGGTGGTGAAAGAGGAGATTTCCGATGACGGCGCCAAGCTGCCTTGTTTCAACGGCAGAGTGGTTTCATGGGTAAGGAGCGATTAAACCTGTTGCATGCAGGTTGTATGCATTTTTTTGCAGACAATCGGCCGTGATTCTTCCTCACGATTCAAACTTTGCCATTCGAGCGCCGCTAAGTGCAGAAACGTAAACGTAGCCGTCCTCTGAGCCAGAAGAGCTTCAGCCGTTCCCTCCTTGTGTTCGTCCACACTGAAGCTTCCAAGCTCCAAGCGTCACACATTTCATACTTTCCATTTCTCCAGGAGAAGAACACCCCCCCCCCCTCTCCCCTCCTCCCCACCAACCTGAGAGTAACATTTGAATAGAGACAAAAGACAATTCAGGGCCCAGATAAGCAGGTTTGAGGCCAAAGCATCTGGTAAGTGCATAAGAAGGGGGGGGGGGGACAAAGCTCAGACACCAGAGGGACCGATATGTGATCTGCTGGCCAAGGCGGACTGAGGGATCCCAGCAGACAAGCGATTTTGGGGGGTGGGGCGCTGCTGTGCAGCCCTGACAGACTCCGCTTCGTTGAGTTATTTTGACAGGGAGTGTAAAGCACATTTAAGCGCAACAAAAGTGAACGATGCGTGTGTGTGTTTTTCCGTTCCAAACGAATGTCCACAGCATTTAAAAGCCGTCCCCCGGCAACACACACACTTTTTTTTGTCTTCTCCTTTTGGTCGTATACATGTTCACCCTGCGTTTTTTTTTTAATGTGTGTGTGTGTGTGTGTGTGTGTGTGTGTGTCCGTGCACTCATAGCACCCTTTTGTTGTGTAGACGAGGAGAGACGGGTTAAGTGTGGGATATCGTTTCAGTGTCCCCCGGAGACGTCCACCTGAAAAGAGCTCAGTGTTTGTGTGTCAAACCAGTTGACATCTTACCTGCTTCTCCTCCCGTCCCTCCCTCGGATTATGTTCTCTCTTTAAGTCTCTTTTGACTATCCTGTTCCCCCCCCCCCCTCTAGTTGGTGTCTTCAGACGCTACGACGGCGGAGCCCCCAGTGGCTGTGGTCCCTCCGGTGGAGGCAACGCCGCAGCCTTCGCCCCCTCCTCCGCCCCTCCCACCGCCACCGGCGGAGAGGACCGGGGGCATCGGGGATTCCAGACCGCCCTCCTTCCAGTAAGTGCATTTGCCCCCAAAGAGGGGCGCCTCGCGCGCGCACACTCGGGCCGGTCCCACAGGTGTGATGTACATGGCGTCTCTCTGTGCCATGAATGTCTCGTCCACTCCCAGGATCACGTTGCTACAGGAATAGCAGGAACACTGCGGCTCTATGCTGGGGGGGGTCCTTGTTGTCTGCGGGGCGGGAGAGGCCTTCACCACATTAAAACACACACTGACGTCATTTTAAAACGTTTGCACACAGTGCAAGCTTTTATTATCCCAACGTTGAGATAAAAGAAAACGAAATGAAGACGCTCTCGTCTTTTTGTCCACGTGAAACCTTCTGAGAGAGGAAACTATTACCGTAATCCGTCTGGAGGCGTCCAAAGCAAACGGAAGTATTTATAGTTTATGACTTCTTTCCCTCTCTGTTTATGCGCGGGGCTCTTTTGATGTTTGGTTCAGGGGTCAGATGGAGGTCACTCCCCTGGCGGCCGCAGCGCTCTCATTCAGAGGCCTCGCTGTTCCTCTCTTGCCTCCCTGTAACTCAGCGTGGTGGTTTTGCAGAATCCTACAGGAAAACGAAGCCTCATTTCAAACTTGGCGCTGTCTTTCTTCCTCAGCAATCAGCAGATTTGTCAGTACGCGAATGGTTACTCAGTCTGCTGCCCTGTGTAGCCGTTACATTGTTCATCTGACAAATAATTCATGGTCTGTAAAGGTCAAGAGTCTCTGGTTTTTGCTGAATATTTTGAATGCTTCAAATATCCATCTTTAATGTGGAAGAAAAAAGCTGATTTTGATCCAGTGTAATGGACATAAATATGTCCTAAAACATCTTTATTGGTTATTTGAACATCTGGAAACTGACGTGTAAAAGTGATTACATTATAGCAGCTGGAGTTCCGTTCTATTTCTCACTGCGCCGCTGCTTCCTCCCTTTTTTTCTTCCTTTTCCTTTTTACAGCCCCAACGCGACGGGCAGCGTGGAGACGCTGGACGACCAGACGGAGACCGAGTCCGTGGTCTCCTTCAGGAGGGAGAGACCTCGGCACAGAGAGAGCTTGGAGCCTCACGGTAAGACAACCGCCGGTCAAGCTCACCACCGCTCCAACCGAGCGATTTGGATTGTGCATTGACGCAATCGGGAATGTGGGAGAAGAGAGAAATGTCCGTGAGCTCTTAAACGCCGTTTCAGGGCCTCGAATGAACGGCCAGACCCGACTGGAGCGCCACCTGGCGGGTTACGAGAGCTCCAGCACGGTGATGAGCAGCGAGCTGGACACCACCAGCTTCTGCGACTCTGAGGACGACGACACCATGAGCAGGTGAGAAAAGAGAGAGACGCTCGTCTTAAAGGTTCTGCGGGGGGGGCGGTTCTCTTCTAACACGTCTTTCTGTTCATCCTTGTAGGTTCAGCAGCGCGACAGAGCAGAGCACGGCCTCGAGGCTCCTCAAACGCCACCGCAGGCGCCGGAAACAGCGCCCCCCGCGCCTGGAGAGGGTTTGTTCTTTCCTACTGTTATTCTAAAGAGTCCTTATAATCGATATATATTGCAAATTCCGCAAATCTCATGATACTTTTCTTTTACTACCCCCCCCTCCAGGCCTCATCCTTCAGCAGCGTGACCGACTCCACAATGTCCTTGAACATCATCACCGTCACTCTCAACATGGGTACGTAAACTCCTGATTTGTGAATGAAGTCCAATACTCGGCGACGGTGTTGCGCGGGTAGCGTTGACGCCACCGTGATTTCTCAACGCGCACAGAGAAGTACAACTTCCTGGGCATCAGCATCGTGGGCCAGAGCAACGAAAGGGGCGACGGAGGCATCTACATCGGCTCCATCATGAAGGGAGGAGCCGTGGCGGCGGACGGACGCATCGAACCTGGCGACATGCTGCTGCAGGTGAGGAGCAACAAAGGGTTGATCCCGAATCAAAGGGGGTGTTGTTTTGTTTTCCTGTTCTAGTTCGGGTGTCGCTCTCAGTTTCTGGACACCCTGTGCACCATTTTGGAAAAGTTTTGGCTTCGAAGCGACGGCGGTTCAGCCACAAAAACACATAACGGGGGTGCATGAACAAACATAGAAACACGCATACGTGGTGATCAATTTGGCAGATTCAATTGTCAGATTCAAAAATCTGCCAATTTTAGTTTCTTGATTTAATTTATTGGTCATCTGGTCTCTGAAATGTCGGAAAATAGTAAATTGGCAATCATCATTTCCTCAAGCCTCAAAATGGCCCACGGAGCCATTTGAGGCTTGAGGAAATGTCTCTCCCCATTATTGCATTAAATCTTTGTCTTCCTTTTTTTTTTTAAAGGTGAATGACATCAACTTTGAGAATATGAGTAACGACGATGCGGTGCGGGTCCTGAGGGAGATCGTACACAAGCCCGGGTGAGCTGTTTGTCCGTGGGTTTTTCCCTCACACGTCATATTAGAGCGGTTCTGTTAGGTTGTGTCGGTACACAAGCCGGCGTCGGGTCTAACTGACCTTTTTTCTTTTTTCCAGCCCCATCATTCTGACGGTGGCCAAGTGCTGGGACCCGTCTCCTCAGGGCTACTTCACTCTGCCTCGCAGTGAGTACTGAGCGACCCCCCTCCCCCCATTTCATGGCTCACCGCTGTCACTAAAACCCCCCCCCCCCTGTCTCTCCTTTCAGATGAACCCATCCGACCCATCGACCCCGCGGCCTGGGTGAGCCACTCCGTTGCCATGACGGGGGTCTACCCCCCCTTCCCAGGCAGCTCCTCCCTCAGCACCATCACCTCGTCGTCCTCCGTCACGGAGACCGAACGTGAGCGCTTCTCCCCGACTGTCTCGCCTATAGTCTCCCCCCTCTGTGGGCGCTGTCTCTCGGCCCCTCCTCTTTATTCTCAGCCCGGTTTCATATCGCCACACTTCTCTTTGACCCGAATCTCGCCTCGTAGTGATCCTCTCGTTCATCCCCGCACGTTCGCGCTTCCTCTTTCGCTTCCCTAAAATGCCCCCGTGTCTCTTTCCAGGCTTCGATGACTTCAACTTATCGCTGCACTCCGACATGGCGTCCGTCGCCAAGGCGATGGCCTCCCCAGAGTCTGGTCTGGAGGTCAGGGACCGCATGTGGCTGAAAATCACCATCCCCAACGCCTTCCTGGGTAAGGCCAGTCGGAGGAGACAACGTGACCTAGTGGCAGGGACGCTCTGTCCTCACAGGGCTGTACAGGGCAGGCATTATGCTCTCATTATGCTCCCAGAATTAAAGCCGTGTGACTCGTGTTTTCCCCCCCACCCCCGAAAATGCATCGGTTAAATTGGAGTCGCAAGGACGGATTAGGAAAACTTTTATTGAAGTGACCGTCTCTTTTACATAAAGCTTTAGTGACAATCGAGAACCTCACAGGTCTCTGAACTGTTGAGCTGCTTGTGAGCAAATTAAATGAAAAGAGCAAACAATAACAATTATTTTGGTGTGATATTTATTCCAACACTTGAGTTAATAAGCAGCCTCGCATAGATTGTATTCGGGATATAATTGTATTTATCTGTATAAGATGTAAGAAGAGCGTAGGTGCTGTGCATTGTCATTCATCTTCTGTGTGTGTGTGTACATATATTTTGGGATTTGTATTTTAATGATTCTTTGTACGTACAGACAGTATTTCTATTTATTTGTTTGGTTGGTGGCGCATTCTGAACGTCACACACAAACGTTTCCTTCGGGTTAAACTAATCTCTGTCTTCCCCTCCCGCGGGTTCCGCCCGCAGGCTCCGACGTGGTGGAGTGGCTCTTCCACCACATCGAGGGATTCCAGGACCGCCGCGAAGCCAGGAAGTACGCCAGCAACCTGCTGAAGGCCGGCTTCATCCGGCACCCCGTTAAAAAAAGTTCACCTTCCCCGACAAGGGTTACTAGTTCTTCGGGAAACTGAGCGCCTGAGGAATTTGAGTGCCGGAAAGCCCTTTCTTGTCCGTAGAATTTTTTGTTTTCGGCGCGCACGCCTTAATCTCTCTTCATATTTTTTCCCCCACCCCCCACCCCCCACCTCCTTTCCAGACATGGCCAACCTCTCCCTGAACGACAACGACGGCTCCAGCGGGGCCTCGGACCAGGACACGCTGGCCCCCCTGCCCCTGCCCGGGGCCTCCCCGTGGCCCATGATGCACACGTTCCCCTACCAGCCCTACCCGACGCACGCCTTCTCCAGCCAGCCGCCGCCGTACCACGAGCTCACCAGCTACAGCTACGCCCCCGGCAGCACGGGCAGCCAGCACAGGGAAGGTGAGCAGCCCAGGGCTTTTTTGGGGGGGGGGGGGGGGGGGTCGATGACTTAAATGTAGGAGGACTACGGGATTAGCTGTTGAGTCATTGTTGAGTTTTTTAAAAAGTTGTTTATAGCGCGTGACGGCGTCAGGGTTGTTAATGAAGTAGTGGAATGTAAAAATAATTCTACATAACGGACACTTTTATGTATAACTAACCCCGCCCCCCTCGCCCTGCCCACAGGGAGCCGGAGCAGCGGCTCGACGAGAAGCGAGGGCGAGCGGCGCCGCAGCACCAAAGGCCCCGGCAGCACCGTGGGCGGCGGGGAGAAATCCCCCTCCGGCGTGGCCGTGGAGGGCGACTCGCGCTCCGGCAGCGGCAGCGAATCCGAGTACTCCACCCGCAGCAGCCTGAGGCGGGGCCACGGCTCGGCCGCCCCCAGCGAGCACAGCCACGCCTCCTCCCAGCGGTCGCATCACCACCGCCTCCCCCAGCCGCCCCACATGTCTCCCTACCCGCCGGGCATCCTGCCCTACAACCCCATGATGGTGATGATGGTGCCCCAGCACCCGCACCCGGCCATGGCCGCCCACGGCCACCCCCACGCGCAGCAGCTGGTCGCCGGCCCCATGCACCCGACTCTGGCCCCGATGCCCTCCTCCACCCCGGGGGGGCCCCCCGGCGCCCCGCCCACCCGCGACCTGGGCGCCGTGCCCCCGGAGCTGACGGCGTCCCGCCAGTCGTTCCACCTGGCCATGGGAAACCCCAGCGAGTTCTTCGTGGATGTCATGTAGTCCTTTTTTTTGTTTTGTTTGTTTTGTTCATTGTCTTTCCTGTGTCGTGGCGTCCAGTGACCTTTCACGTGAAGTTGGTGTGCGGCTCGCACTTGTTCTGACGAGGATCCGGCGGTAGCTTTGTGAGCGCACGAGGGCCTTTCGGATTGAGGGCACTAGTTGCAAATTTGGTGAGAACAGGGTTTAACACTGACAAAGACGAGAGAGAAAAACAAGCAAGACGAAAACACTAACGTGGGATACGGTCGCTACATGTCAGCGACTGTTCTGCTATTAAAATCCACTACATTACCGTTATCTTTCCAAACTTCAATCCGAAAGAAAAAAAGTTCTGTTTCCCTTTTCTGCGACTTTCTGCACAAGATAAATCCTTTTGTCTATCAGCACCTCGGCACCCCGAGCTTTTTAAAACCCACCCAAAAACGGAAACGCAATATACTAGGAAGGGAAGCATCTCGAACCCTGTCCATCCAGGGAGCGCACGGACCACAGCTCAACAGCAGAGGGCGCCACGCACTCCAAAAGGATCCAATCCTGCACGCACATCTGGTTCGTAAGTGCCTTACTCTTTGTTTTACAAAGAGACATTTTCACTCTCCGGGTACATCAAATAACTTCCAGCGTTGTTTGTCAATTCTCATGCGTGTCTGCGTGCGTGCGTGTGTGTGTGTGTGAATAGAAATACTTCTCCAATGTAAATGCGACAACACAGAACGCTCTAATGTGAAAAGAATATCGGTCCAGAAAAAACGGTCAGGTGAAGTGGTGTAATGGAAAACACTGCCCAGGCGTCAGTAACTCTTAACTGTGAGGAGTTTTCGGTATCGGACCGCAGAGACTCAACGGTACTAATACGTGCAGACAAAACGCTGAAAGTGGTACTTTTTGATTACATCCAGTGTATATCTGAAGTAACTGTGATCCAAATGCCCCCATGCTTGTTTTTTATGTAACTGACTCGCATTATTCACCACATTTCATTTCTTTTTGTATGAGTGACTATATAAATCATGTATAACCGAACTATTAAGGTGCTAAATGAAGATTCGACATTTCAAAAACAGTGACATCGACTGTCTCGTTGTTTGATTTTATATTACCACCTGTTTGTGTACTTGAGAATAAATTTGATACTTACCAAAAATTCAGACTTCATTATTTTATGGGGGAAGTCTATTCGACTCATGTACTGTGTTTGTCGGGGGATATTTTGGACTTTGTGTCCAGGAAAGTAGCAACACCAGAAAATGTCCCATTACAAACAAAATATCAAAATGTGACGGACTATCAAACTTTTTGCTGATTTTAATGAGCTCTCTCATCATACTTTGTAAATCTTTTTTTATGATTAGATATAAATCCGTTTCAGTCCTAGAATTTTCTAGGATCTTTTAATGACAGAGTTAAAAAATATATTATTCTCCTTGCATTACGTATACAATATTTCTTGATACCACAAGGTCAATAAAAGGTCAATCAATTATGTTGTCAATATGGAGATGTCTACTTACATTTCAGAGGTTAATTCATCTATTTTTACTCCAACATTTATCGTTGGATTGTTACATTTTCAATCACTTTCTTAAGACCAAAAAATAATAATACCAATAAAAATAATGCCATATAATTCATCTGGCGTGGGGCAAGTTCCCTTTAAGAACACAACAGCATATGAATTAGTACATTTCGATCCACTACAGTGCCTTATTTTAACAGAATATACTGCTTTATTACGGAGCAATCTGTTATGTTAATGTTTCTCTCGGTCAAACCCGGTACATGGACACAGAAGGACACCGAGCACGCCCGGCAGACATTGCGTATAAAAACCACATTTCCCATGATGCACCGCGGGTAGACAACATCCGTAGAACCGTGATATCTGCTCATTCGGAGGAACAGCCGGCTACTAGACGGACTCTCGGAACTTGTCTTCATACAATATTTATTGGTGGGTGATGCTGCTTTTATAGTCATTCGGTAGGAGGACGATAACTATGTTAACAAGTTAATGTTTCTGGTCTAAACCTGTTAAGTTAACGTTACATATCGGGCCAACGTCATGACGTAACTGCTAGCTTAGCCTAAAACTACCGTCCGCAGCTACTCCGCTTTGCGTCTCGCCTGCGTCTGAGTTACTCCTCCCTTGTTTATTTTTCAGTCAGTTAATTTGAGAAAATCGTTTTTTCGTTTATTCTTCTGTGTCCTTAAACCAAAAGGGAACCATGCTGCTTCGTAAAGTAAGCCAGTCCTCCGCACTGTGCGGCTCCATTCTGCGGATCCCTGCCGGGCTGTCCAGGTAGGGGACGTCAACGCGCGGAAGTGTTGGACATATCGTCTCTGGACGAAGACTTTCATTGTCCGCTCGAGCGAGGGAACAACTCAAAGTGAAACACACTTCTCCCTCCCTGTTTGTGTGCGTTCGTTCCACAGAGGTCAGCGTCATGCCGGGGCCGTCGTTGCTGTACAGAACCCCCGTCTCTACGCGAGCCAAGCCGCGGAGGTAACGGAACAACGGAGGCCCGACTGGGGCCCTCCGCAACATACTCTTATTTACATCCTCATTTTATAAAATGTATGTATATATATTTGTTTCCCGCCATGGGTTATTGGCTTGTGTGCACTGCTGCCCTTGTTTTGGGCAGTGGACCGCTGACATAACGTCGGCATGCCCTCCCTGCTGGATGTGGGGGAGAGTTCACTGGTCACGTGACTCCCCCATAAAGGTCACACTGTGGAGACCGCCGTGGTCCAGACGGGGCCCCCCCGTTGAGCCTTTCCCTTCAAATCTATAGCACAATTGTGTGTTCTTCCTTTTTTTTTTGTGGTGCTTTGAAGATTCTTGAAGTTTGATTCAGTAGTTTCATTTACCGTGTGCGTTTTATAGTTGTCAGGTTGTGCTAAACAAAACATTTCAGCTCATTTTATATCCAGTTCGTTTGATAGCTGTCCTTCATAAACGGAGCGGACGGTGTCAGGTGTTTGGATCAACAAATCCCACCCCAGTCACTGTAGCACAGAACACCTGTGCACGCCCTGGGCACACAGGCTCCGCCTCCTCGGTTTTTCTACAGCTTTATAGTGCTGAATGTCTTAATGAGAGGTTAACGACACTAAAAGGGTGTGTATGCAGACAAAAACAAACACAATCTTGGAGCACGATGTAGGGATATTATTTCATCACGTGGCGTTGACAGGAAACAAGTGTTCCACAAAACCAGTGATAAATGAAGATTCAATCATAATGAATTATTTATTATTTATTTGAATTTATTTATTATTTGAAGTTAACTGCCGATAATTACAGGCATTTATATGCAATACGACCGGCATTGTTTTCCTTTTAATAATCATGTGCCAAGTGCACAGTCCACCTGCTGCTTGGGGACTCGGCTGCCTGGCTTCTGCCCTTGGGACCACCTCTCACCCACTTAAGATCGGAGCTTCAGTGGCTGCAAGTGGAAAATAAACGTCATTCTGGTTTTACTTGGCTCATAACACTGGATTCTTTTTTTTTCCCCGCTCAGGCATGTTGCCAATTTAAGCAACATTTTTTTTACACCATGTTATTAAAGTTGGATTTCTTTTCAGATGCAGTTAAAAACAACATTTTTTTTATTATTTTTTTTTACTGAATCCTTAAATTTTTTGCGAGCTTCCTCCCTTGAATCTGTTTTGCTCTTCCTCTCCAGGCGGTGCTGGAGAAGACGGCCGCAGTCGGCAGTAACACTGCTGCTAAAGTGGAAAAGACAATTTCTACCGTACGTTAATTATCAGTTACTGTTTGTTGTTTTTCTGAAATCTTGCAGCACTACGAAGTATGTGTTTTAGTTTTAATATACGCGGCCGTCAATGTCTCAAAAAAAGTCCTTTGTCAAAATGGATTCTACAAATGTCCAATATATTAATAATGGCTTAACTTCCCGCAGGAATCCAAATCGTATGCTGTCAACATTTTCAAGGGGCAGATCGAGACTGCCCAGGTTTTCCCTTATCCCTCAGGTAAATTTGAGATGATTTATGTTCATTCATTTCCCATCAACCATTTCTGTAAAATAATAATACCTCTTGTGTCTCCTGCAGCCCTGAATGAAGAGCAGGAGCAGTTCCTCCGGGAGCTTGTTGGGCCCGTCGACAAATTCTTTTTGGTAATTCCAAATAACGTCCTCTTTCATGTCTCAGATACATTTGTATCCACACTTTTCTTTGCGTACTTTTTTTATCATTTAAAAAAAGGTTATACGTCTCACAATTTGTTTCCGCCTCCTGCGAACAGGAAGTGAACGATGCCGCCAAGAACGACGCCTTGGAGAAGGTCGAGGACGACACCATGCAGGGCCTGAAGGAGATGGGCGCCTTTGGCCTGCAGGTGCCCTCTGACCTGGGCGGCCTCGGCCTCTCAAACACGCAGGTGCGTCCGCTCGATTACCTCCACGTACATTTTGTACTGCGGTCGGTAAGCAGAGTCTGACGCGATGCCTTCGATGTCACAGTACGCACGGCTGGTCGAGATCGTCGGCACCTACGACCTCGGCGTCGGCATCACCCTGGGAGCCCACCAGTCCATCGGCTTCAAGGGCATTCTGCTCTTTGGGAATCCGGCCCAGAAGGAGAAGTACCTCCCCAAGCTCGCCACTGGTAAGAATTTGGCGTCGTCCGCACCATTTAAAAAAAAAAAAAATGTTATTACTCTCTGAGAATCTCGGGAAAAGACCCAAAAACTACAATATGCTATGAAACAAGCCGTTTGATAACCTCTGCGTTGGCCCCTCCAGCCGAGACTATCGCAGCCTTCTGCCTCACCGAACCGGCCAGCGGCTCAGACGCCGCCTCCATCAAGACCACAGCTGTTCAGTCGTCGTGCGGCAAGTTCTTCACTCTCAACGGGAGCAAGATCTGGATCAGGTGAGGACCAGGCGCACGTGGCCCCAGTTGTTTTCACCACAGGGTGGCAGCATTCTACAATGTGTCACGTAACTCTGTAATGCCTGAAAGTCTTTTCTTTTCTGATGCGTTTTTTTTTTTTTTTTTTTAAATGTATTTTTTCCCTTGTCAGCAACGGCGGTCTGGCTGAGATCTTCACGGTGTTCGCCAAGACACCCATGAAGGACCCCAAGACGGGGGAGATGAAGGACAAGATCTCTGCCTTCGTGGTGGAGAGGAGCTTCGGAGGAGTGACGAGGTGAGCGCATCGTTCTTTTTAGATGCTGCGTTGTTTGTCGCTGGGCATCACGACACGGCCTCCGTGGAGCTTTCTGGGCTCATGCTATATTCTTAATTTTATTTTCTTCCTCTTTTATCACAGCGGCCCCCCAGAGAAGAAAATGGGCATCAAGGCGTCGAACACCGCCGAGGTCTACTTTGACAACGTCCGCGTGCCTGCTGACTGCCTGCTGGGCGAATTGGGCGAAGGCTTCAAGGTGGCCATGAACATCCTGAATAACGGGCGCTTCGGCATGGCCGCCGCCCTCTCCGGCACCATGAAGGGAGTCATCAACAAAGCTGTGAGTACATGAGTACAGATGTGGACGGAAAGTGATGTGACACCCTCTTTTCAACCGTGCAACTTCCTGCCAACGTTGCTGAAGATCCAAAAGTGCCCTTGGTCACGTCTGTTCTCAAAAGAAATGCGCATTTTGTAATGTTTCTAACCGTTTTATTAAATAAGGTTTTTCTAAAAGGAAGGTAAAGCAGTAATGTTCTGAAAGGAACCCTGCTGCAAATGACCAAAACGAAGTATTGATGAACTCCAGTTAGACAGAAAAATAAATATATTTTTGCCACAATGCATTCAAAAGAACCGATCTGACGAATTTATCGTAGCACCTGTATCAATGCATTAAGGTGCTCAGCACTTCCCTCTCTCCATCAGGTGGACCACGCAGCCAACAGAACCCAGTTCGGAAACAAGATCCACAACTACGGCGTCATCCAGGAGAAGGTGGCTCGCATGGCCATGCTGCAGTACGTCACCGAGGTCGGTGGATCTTCATATTTTTGTCACTAAAATGCGCCACGTTGATTTATTTATTTTTGATCAAAGTAGCGCGTTGTGTGTTCATGTAGCGAGTGGCGTTTTGTTTCTACGCGTCCTGTCTGTCCATTGTCTCAACGCTCGTGTTCAGTGAGGTGAACGCTTGTGCTGACGCGCCGCTTCCGTGTCCCTTTGCAGTCGATGGCGTACATGATCAGCGGCAACATGGACAGCGGAGCCAAGGAATTCCAGATCGAGGCGGCCATCAGCAAGATCTTTGCCTCTGTAAGACATCGAGGGGCTCTGATCCACCGTTGACGTCTTCACTGCGCTTCTGGTGTTCCTCTTTCCGCTGCCAGATAGAGGAATGGGGCTGTGTCTGTTCTTCCCTGAATTCAAGATGTTTTTTGTTGTTGTTTCTCAAATTGTTGCAGGAGGCTGCGTGGACTGTGACTGACGAGTGCGTTCAGGTTATGGGCGGCATGGGTTACATGAAGGTGAGCTCCAGCGGTGTGTTTTCACCCCCGTGCTGATGGTTCCTAAAAAGCTGCTTCTGCGGCTCACCCGGTTACACCAAACGTTCCCTCTTCTAACCTAAGAATCTCATTGCCTCATTTCCTCCGTGAATTTGCCGCACACCGACGCAGCAACACCTCCGCCCGTGGTTATCACATTTCCACATTAGCCCCGCATGGGTCGGCGAGATCAGCACCTCCTCAGCGATGACCCGGCACGGAGAGGGCGATACGCTCTTAGAAACAACCACCCCGCATTAGTTCCTCTTGTTGAGGTTCCGCATTTGTCGTAACTGAGCGTTGCCTCGCGCTCAGACGACACTGATACCAAATCTATGGAATCTTGTTAACAAACAAACAACTAAGAAGTTCCCAAGAATAGCCGGACGGGGCAGGAGGTCACCAGACTCTCACAACAGTGGAAAATGTTGTTTTTATGCATGGAGATGGTGTGCACAATAGGCGAGGGGGACGAGGAGGGACATTTGTGTACTTTTCAGTTTATTTATAGCTGGTCTCTGTTCCTGTGTGCAGCTGTTAAGTGACTTAAGATAAATCTCACCGCTTCTTTTTTTTTCTGGCTGGAGTTGAACTGAAAAAGGGAACGACTGATGCTTTTTTGACTGGTCATCACCTTTCTGAATCCCGTTTCCTCAGGACACCGGCCTGGAGAGAGTGATGAGGGATCTGAGGATTTTCCGAATCTTCGAGGGCACCAACGACATCCTGAGGCTCTTCGTGGCCCTCAACGGCTTCCAGGTGAAATCAGACGTTCGTTTGCGAACCTTGTGATCCGATCCCACAGCGTGTCGCTGGTGCTACTGATTTCAGCTCGCTGCGTCTTGTGGCTTTTTACCAACGGTCGTTTGTGAAGCAACTTCCTTTTTTTTTTTAAATGTATTTATATTTTTCATTACACCGTGGACTCTTTTGATTTGTCAATCCAGATTGAGAGTGTCTAAGCAAAAAGGGTAGACTCCGATTAACTGCAACAGACAATGACAAATGCTACCTGCCCCCCTCCTCCCCTCCTCCTAGAACGCTGGTAACCAGTTGAAGAGCTTGCAGAAGGCCCTGAAGAACCCCATCGGCAACGCCGGGATGCTTGCTGGAGAAATCGCCAAAAGAGCCAAACGGTTTGTGTCCCACACTTCGTTTGGGGGACAGGAGACCAACATGTTGTTGTTTTTCGGCGTCATGATACCTGTCCTGCTGTGTTTGCAGAAAGGCCGGTCTGAGCACGGGTCTGACTCTGCAGGGAACCGTCCACCCCGAGCTGGCTCAGAGCGGAGAACTGGTGTGTGTGTGTGTGTGAGAATCGTAATGCAACTGTAGACATTTCTGTAAGACGTCCTTATTTAGCTGATGATATGACTGATGATTTTTTTTCTAGACCGCTAAGGCCATCGAACAGTTTGGAGGTGTCACAGAGGAGCTGCTGCTCAAACACGGGAAGAAGATCATTGGTGAGTGGGTTTGAAGAAGGAAAAAAACACGAGGCCTCTGTGGGTGTTTTTGTACAGGGGAAAAAAAAATCCCCAACTGTCTTCTCAGACATCGGTACTGCTTCTCCTCAGGAAAAAAAAAAAATCTTTCTTCGGCTTGTGTCATTCTATTGCAGATGAACAATTTGTCCTGAGCAGAGTGGCAGACTGTGCCATCGACCTCTACGCCATGGTGGTGGTCCTGTCCAGGTATGCCCAACAAAAACCATAGTTATCAAACTCTCAAGTCCAATGTTTTTTTGTTGTTGTTTTTTTTAAATCCTAGCAACACGCCTCCTCGCTTGTTTCAGACTCCCACTCGCCTTCTCTGTGCTCTACTTTTATTTGCTCTGAGCTGACGTGTTTTTTTTGTTGTCCTCCGCGTCGCAGGGCTTCACGCGCTCTGAGTGAGGGCAGCGCCTCGGCTCAGCATGAGAAGATGCTGTGTGAGACCTGGTGTGTGGAGGTAAGGTCCTCACTGAATAACTGTGGGAGTGTGTAGCAGAAAGGATGACAAGGCTCTAAAGCTCAATGTTATTTTCACCATTTATTAACATAATTTGATGCTTTGACAACGTTTCGGAGATAATTTCCCACACAACGTTTTGTCCCTCAGGCCCACGAGAGGATCCTGAGAGACATCAAGTCGCTGCGCTCCAGTCAGTCCCGACAGCTCTACAAGAACATGCGGGCCATCTCTGCCGCCGTGGTGGAGAACGGTGGAGTGGTGGCTCCTCCCGCTCTGGGTTTCTAGCCTCGCCCCGTGTACCTCTTGTTTCCCTCTCTTCACTCTTCTGCATCTCTGGCCGAGTTCAGGGTCCCGCACGCCAAGTTGTCTCAGTCGCCATAATCTCTTTCGTCCTCGTGCCGGAAATCGCAGCTTCCGTCGTCTCCACTCGGGATTGATTTTTGGCGTCTTCGCAAACCAGTTTCTCTCTCTAACTTCCATCAGTTTAATGGCGAGACTTGTGAATGAATCGATACGACGGAAAGTACTGTATTTTCACAAATGAGCCCCGCACGTGAAACAGCTGCTGACTGAATGTATCCAGTGTGTGTGTGGAGCTTTTAACCGCTGCGTCGACTTTGAATCTCTGCCTTTGTTTTAACGGTTTAGTGGTTTCATCGTTCAGTCCGTTGACCGGTTAAGTTATGGTGTTATTTGTCTGTTTAATAGGAAACTAAAACCGTTGATGCAACTTAGAGATAAAGAGGCCAGTTAACAGAGGATCTAATCTAGGTTTTTAGCTATTCACTAACCGGTATTTAAAAAGACTGGCTTGTGTTCAAATGTATATAACGTCTGGGTGTTATTGTACTTTAGGCCTTTCTGCAGGTCAATGGAGCTCACTCAGCGCTCGTTAATGTCACAAGCAAAACCTTTTGCCTTCAGAAGCCGGTGTGCAGACGTCAGTTTACCAGATCAAAAGAAAACTGGGCATCATTAACTAATGATAGAGTAACAGTCTGCATATCTGGTCCTTTTTAAGTAATGTGTTGTACAATAAATGCACCCGCTGGTGTTCTGATCTGTCAAAGCAACCTTAAGATCTGCGCATTCTCGCCTCGCACGGTGATCGAATGCCTCTCGTGTTATCTGGTTGCTATGTTTGGAGTCAATGTCTGCGCAGATCTATTTTGAACTTTTTGGTTTGCGGCACACCTACGGGTCGGGACTAATAAAAATCGTGTGCATTAATCTGTCTCTTGTGCTGTCTTCTATCGGGGTCAGGTGTCTGTTGTTGGTCTTCACCCTACTTTTGTAACTGGTAAAAAAAACGTTCTCAGCAAAAAGAACCACTGCTTTCGCTTCTCTCTTCCGGGGCAGTACCATTTTCCCCCCCACCGGCCGGCCGGGTAGCGCGCTGTCACCAGAGCGCTTCTGTGCCGCGGTGAAAACAGGAAGTTTGAGCCGGCACGTCTCGAGACCTGCGGTCATAACAAAAGGATGTCGGGCTTTTCCCCTTTTCAAAGACCGGCTTAGTTTTGTTTCAAAGCTGAGGTGAATAGAGCCGGACCATGATGACGTTACTGATGTTCTCACTTTTGCATTCTTATAAACATCATGTAGAGCAGCAGACGTGAGCAGTATTTTTATCATGGTGTATTTGCCTCTGGAAAAAAAGATGAATTGGCGCCAAATAATTTGACAAACATTGGAAATATATTCCTGTTCATTTTAGTTTAGTCCCATGAAGTGTTAAGTGCAAATCTGTGTGTTGAACTTAACCACCTCGATGAGCGCGGTGTGTTGAAAGCCCAATGTGTCATCATCCAAGCAATAGATCCGGTTTTGGGGGGTATTCTTTAGATTCCGCACTGATTCTGATTCGCCAAATGTTCCCACGCACAGATATCAGTGTGGCCTCGATCGTCTCATCTAATTCCCTATTAGAAAAAGAAGCTGGAAATATCCATGTGGCCGTAAAATTGAATTTGCCTCCGCCAGGTTGAGCACACGTGGGCGCGACATTTGCCCCGGACGATACGAGATCCTCCATCCCAGTCATTTTCAATCCAATAAACGACGGAGGTTTCTGGACCGGAGACACCTGACACAAGGTCAAAGACGGACGCGTGTGTTTGTGTCTCGTGGCGGTATCTCAATGAACGCAACGTCAGGTCTCGGGTTTGGAAACAAACCCTTTTTAAGACCCCTTGTGGAAGATGGCTTCAACTCATCCAGATGTTCCCTGCCCATCGGGCGTGCGGTCCATAGCGCCGGGACGTGAGTCCAAGTCACGTGAGGAACTCCAGACCAGACGTTGGCCTCGTTTCCGCCTCTTCTGGGACTTGCGAGGTCTCCTGGTAGATGGTTGTCTGTGCTGTGAGTGTCCGCTCCCTGAGGGGGGAAATTCAAACTAAAAAATCAGCACAACAGCGGTGAGCTCATGTGTCTTGTGAGTTTTGCAGTGAAGTGCATGAGATGCCTCTTGTGATTCATCATAGCAGAAATGATGAACCACATGCAAATCACTTCACACGTTTCTTTCAAACATGCGAGCCCCATCTTGTGATGCATCACCCTCGTTCAGATGGACGTAGCTCGATTATGCATTTTCATGCTTGGTGTTGACTAATTCTGTGGCAGACATCACACCTCTAGGCTGTGAATGAGGATTGTGTTGCGTTTCCTGTGTCATATGTGGTCTGTCTTGATAGTTTAGGAAAAGAACGGTGTATTTACTGTATGGTAACACGTCTGTCCATTAAATGTGTTCCAGCCTGAGCAGATTTCTAAAATCCCCCACCCCCCTGACAAAAAATATATATTTTTGGAATTTCCCACAATGTGTTCAGTCATTTACTATCACTTCATGTGACAGTGTTAACGTTAGGGTGGAAATATGAAATATGGAAACATTTTTTTTCCCACTTTGAAACCAATTTCTTACATGTTGTAGCTCCATGTAGAGTTATTACTGGTAAGAAATAAATAATGAAATGGTACATTGTTCATCACTCGACTCAACACAAATTTTGGGTTGCTAAGCTTGACACCAACGTGATGGTCACCAGTGACTCCAGCCATCGTGTTACGCTGACAACGTTGCTCACATTTAAAAGGTGGCGCAAGGGAATCCGCACCCTGCGTATAAGCACCGCACTTGTGTTGGATGCCCGGTCACGTACCTTGTTGTGTGTCGGGCGCGTGTCGAGCTGGCGCGCACCGTCCAGCCGAGGACCCTCTTAAAGTACCTGGAACAGCAGGGGAACCGGTGACTCAACTGCTCCAGCAGTTCCTCTTTACGCAACCCGTAAACCACCGGCGCAACGCACTGCGCCAAACTGAAGAACGCGAAGACGACCACGGCGGACAGCTCTTTGGTCTGCGACCGGATGAGCCCCCGGTCGATCAGCACCGTCAGCACGAAGTTCACGAAGTTGGGCAGGATGTAAACCGCCAGCTGGCTGCCGTGCAGCGCGATCGTCCGGCACCCGGCCCGGTTGCGCCGATTCACCACCCCCAACCGGCGGCCCTCCACTAGTATCCTCACGTAGCTGTACAGGATGAGCAGCGTGCACACGCCGATGAACACCACCTTCTGCAGCTGGCCCTTCCGCAGCTGCTCGCGGCCGCACACCCCGTCGTAGCCGCTGCCCGCGGCCCGGGGCTCCGGCTGCAGGAGCAGGACCAGCGGGATCCCGAGAGCCACGAGCCAGGTGAGCGCGCCCAGCAGCCAGGGCCAGCTGCACCTGCGCGTGGCCGCGGAGGTGTAGCGCATCGGGTGGCACACCGCGCAGTAGCGGTCCAGGGCCATCGCCGTGAGCGTCAGCAGGAGGTTGCACGCGCTGCTGATCAGCACGACGACCATGGCGAGGCACGCGGGGCGCGCCGGCCGCGCGCCCGCGAAGAGCTGGTAGTCGAAGACGCTGCTCGTGCCCAGGTAGACCAGCGCGGACACCAGCAGGTGGAAAACCAGCACGAAGCGGGCGTGACTCCGGAGCTGCTCCACGCGGACTATGGTCCAGTTGATGACGACGTTGAAGAGGAGCAGCACCGAGAAGGACACGGTGGACACGTAAAAGCGCACGCAGGTGTAGTCGCTCACCGGTGATGCGCTCGTGCTGTTGTTCGCAGACATCATTCCCCAAACTGCGTTCCGTCCGCGGGACGATGAAGATGGTACGAGTCTGCCCTCCCTGTCTTCCCCCAGTGCTGTCTCACTGGAGACTGACTCAATGCGATCAACCGCACTCTCACTCACACACTCTCCATCCGCACGCACACACAAACTAACGCGTGCGCTCACAGACACACAAACTGATAAATATTTATTCCCCCTCCTCATTTAGTCCTTTGTCCGACGAGGCCTGCAGTTAATGCTCCATCAACAATGCATTCATAATGAATCTCACACACAGTTGTATTTAAAGTGTCCATTCACTTATACTAAAGTTATCCCGTGACTTGTGTTGCGCGCCCCCCTCGCAGACGGCTGTCGTGTGTTGCATGATGCTGCCCCCCTGTGGTCATGGCTGCGTGTTGCATGTAGAACGTTCATGGCGGGTTGGCGTGTTAACATATATGGGTATATGCCCTCCATTGTCACGATCTGTTGTATTTACTTTCCTATACGTTATATACAGTATTGTGTGTTAAGCGGTAGCCAATAGGATGCCCCTGAATGGACATGTGACCTAGGCGAGGTCAAGTGAACCTGCGTTCTATAAAGACGACTCAGTTCAAGTCAAACAGCCATGATGCTCCACTTGTGTTATTTGTACTTCGATAATATTCGGCCTAGCATTGTACTGAATCCTCTTTCATACAATACATTCATTACAAATGTAACTAAGTTAAACTTATGTTTAAACTACACCTGATGAAGCTCACTTCACCCTCAGAGGCTCTGGGGCAGCTCAGTCTCTCCAGTCGGGTTGCAGGACCAGCGCACCTTCCGCAGCAGACTCGCTCTGCACGTTGGAATCAGGGACGTAGCATTTGAGGCATTGGACATTTTTGTTCACTGTTCACTGTTTTGAGAAGCTTGTGTGGACATAATGGCGGGTTGATTTTTTATTTTTTGGTTCATCAAAGTTAGGGGGGCAGCTGGGGGGGCAGGGCTCTAGAGTGGGGGGGGGGGGGTAGATCTGCCCCTGGGCACCGCTCATGCAAAACGTTTAGTTTGCATCTACATGCATCCTCCGCGAGCGCCTCTAGACGCACGCTGCCGGATGCGCGTTCTCGTTCAAACAGATTTACTGGCAGTCGAACCGCACGTGGGTGGGGTTTTAGGGGTGGGGGGGAGTTTTAGGGGGGGGGGTTTAGCCATCGCAGGTTTTCCGGGAAACAGAAACTGAATTGAGCCGCAGCGGGAGCCCATCGACTCCAACCGAGACACACCCGACGAAAAAAGGGATAAAAAAAGGTGAGACGAAGCCTCAATATTGATGAGCTTATAACAGTGTAATAACACGTGTGGTGTCACATCGGCGAGCGAGGTTGGTTTGTTTTTGCTGCAATTCACTATTTTACTGTAACGGTAATTCGCTTATAGTCACAGACCTAATTGTGGTTAAAAACGGGGACAGAGCAGCTTTTAATAACATTAGATGCTCCGCGTGTGTCGCAACTCTCTAAATGAATTATGTGATGTAATGCGCCGTGTTTTACCTGACTGCTTTTTTTTTTTGCCACATATAACGTTACATTTTGATTTTAATAAAGCAACAGGTGGCTTCACATCACTTTTAAGTACGTTTCCCGTGACTCACAACTTCAATAAATAAATAAATAAAAGTAGAGCTAGTTTGCTACCGTTACTAATTCAACTAATTTAACCAAATCTGCATTAACAATTTATAAACTGTTTATTGAGCGTTTTGCGAGTTGACGTGAGCTAATGTTAGCTTCATGCTACACAGCCTACGTCACCATTTGAGAGGGAACTACTTAGAATTCATACATTCAAGTTCACAATGGTTTGTGTGTCATACGTATTTGATTCGTGCAAATATTAGCCATGTGCTTAAAAAGAGTTCATCGTAAATGCATTAATTAATTGCTGTGTTACATACAGTTTACGTTTTCTGTTGGTTTTGATTTATTCCATAACGATTGTTTTTAAAATTAAGAATATATAAAGATACGTACGTCCTGCATGAAAAATACATAGCACCTTTCCAGTCTATTTAAAATGGTTTGGTTGGGGTTAACAAATAGCTGTAAACTTGATATTGTCAACGAGAGAAGTGAAAGTGACATTTGTGTTACAAAACAGAACCATCGCTGATGGTGGTCATGGCGGAGTGTGGGTGTGGGTGTGGTGGTGGTGGTGGTGGTGGTCCAACCTTTCCTATAGCATGCAACACGTGAAATAGCGTGACGGTCCTCCGCATGCATAGCTTCAATACCAGCACATTCACCAACTCTCGGTTCAACGCTTTCTCTTGTCGTCCGGTCTGAACGTAACATAGGAAGAGCAGCGACTGCGGCGTGTGTCGTTGAGAAGTGTGTTCTCAATCCTCCAGACATGGCCGTCCAGCAGCAGCCGACCCAGGTGGTGACCATGGTGACCACCAGCCAAGGCCCTGGCACGTGGAGCACCGGCCTCTGCGACTGCTGCAGCGACATGGGCACCTGTAAGTCAAACCCGGCAGTGGATCTCCGTGATGACAATGTCTGACATTTGTCACAACAGGATGCTGTGGTCACCTGTCTGCATTGGACTTGTTGAATAGAAACATTGCCAACAGACCGTGGAAAGCAACGGCCTTGTCATGTGCAACTTTAATTGGTGTTCAAGTCGAAACAACTTCCCACCAGGGAGCAGAATGTCTGACGTGGACAAAGACCACTGCCGCTAGAAACTTAGCCTTTTAGGGTGAACTATCATTTATGCCTGACGGACTCACAAGAGGGAGATTTAAAAAGGAAGGACGGTTGAAACAGAAGTATCCAGCGTCTGATATCCTGACTGAAGTTCATACTATACTTCAAACTCCAGAAATCATCATTTCCACCAACGTCACTCTCTGTGAAACTCGTCCTCCGAATGAGAGCAGATCGGTGTTGATAGAACAGTACACATGTTTGGTGTAAGAAGCAAGTTGTGTGGTGGAAAGATGCAGATACAACATCATCTGTATGCATCTGGTACCTATGACCGGGTGTGATAACTATTAAGAATTAACATTGCAATGATTTACATATGGTTTTAGTTCAATAAAAACACAATAAGCAACTTATGGTTCAGTTCGCTGCATTGATTTAATATATATAAATGTGGAAATAAAGAGCATAATAGCCCCACAATTCATACCTACCACAATACATCTGGATGATGCATATTCATCACGGGATGAGTAGTACTTTCCTTTTCCAGTAAACCGTAAGTGTGAAACTGGTGTAGTTCCGTTTTTTAACACAGTTAACAGTTGGGTCACAGAGGGCAGGTGGAGGGTTGAGTTACTGACACATCCGGTTTCCAGCTGGAGTAAAACGACTTCAGCACACCATTTTCACAACTGTGCCCTAAGAGGACACACAAAACAAGAGTGAGATGTATCTGATCACTCTTCTCTCTTTGCCCTGCAGGTTGCTGCGGTTATTGGTGCTTCCCCTGCATGCAGTGCCAGACGGCCGGAGACCACGGCTGGTGCTGCTGCACCCCGATGCTGGACGTCTGCTGCGTGGTGTCCTGCCTGCTCCGCTCCTCCATCAGAGAGCGCCACAACATCCCCGTAAGGCCCGAGGCAACCATGAAGTGCTAGCAGCACGTAGCGAGGCTTAGCAAAGAGTCAGTTGAACTCGAGCGTGGCATGGAACTGAGGAGGAGGAAGTTCCTGTGTTGCAGTTGTGCGGTTTTCCCACAACACAACAGTGTGGGTGGTAGTTTCGGGCCTGTGTGCAGCAGTGAGATGCAGCGCTCAGTCTGGTACTGTTCAGTGCGGATTTGCAAATGTCCACATGGCAGTTTGTTTTCTGTAGAGAAATGATGAGAAGGACACAGTGCAGCGTTTATGGGAATCTACGGGTGTGGTCTACCATGAACTGAATACTTTTTGTAGTTTTCATTTGCTTAGGGCAAATAGACAAAGTTAACCGTAATCTCATATTGAACATGAATGTTTGTCCTCCCCCCTCTTCCTCCTGCAGGGCTCCTGCTGTGACGACTGCTGCAAGTTGTTCTGGTGCTACCCGTGTGTCTGGTGCCAGATGAATCGTGAGCTGAAGATCAGGAAGCACCGTGGGGGGGGCCACACCTCGGTGGTCACCAGGCAGGTCGTCAGTGGATAGGAACCTTCCGGACGGAGGGTCCGCGGCGGCCGCTGACCTGCAGCTTGGCTTTCGTGGGGGCGCGCGGGCCAGTTCTAATCTTTCACAGACCGGCTGTTGTTCAAAGTCTAAAATCTAAAACTTTTATAGCTGCTTTCAGTTGAATATATTCGCTTGATATCATCGACCGTAGGGCAAAGACAATGTTGAGGTTCCAGTTAACAAGCTCCAGCTCGCAACCTATGAACTACGACATTCCGTGCCGAGGGGCGTGAGCAGGCATTATTTGTACCGTCCAGCGGACCCCCCCCCCTCCAATGTCTAAACCATGGTTCCGCCCTTGTCCCCACCGTTGCAACTCACCGCTTGAATTCATTCTGAAGGAGCCTTGATCACAAATGTTTTAAAAGTTTTATTAAAAGTCTTGAAAAGTGGACTGAGCCTCGTGTTGCTGCTTTCACTGAACTCGCACCTTTTGAATAATGCCTCCTGAGAATGAAACGGATGGAGGGAAATGGGCGAACATTTCTTGTTTGCCCAGAGGTGACGTATACGGGATCGTCTCCCAGTTAGTTTTTATGTTTCTTTTATCTTAACGTGCAGAGTCGAAGGACAGAGTGTCTTTAAAGCACACACGGCAAATAACTTAACACGTTACATGTATTTCCAAAGTCTGCTACGATTGTGTCCCAATCATTCGCTTCAATGCGCAGTGGGAATTTGGCAAACGTATTAAGAGGCCGACGCGGCGCTTTCATGTGGGAGTTGCATTGCAGAGAAACTAAATAGCGGATCGTATTTCAACCGTCACCCAAAAAGTCAGTGATGCAGAAAAACAGGAGGAGAAACAGAAGAGATGTTGTGAATAGTCTCAAATAGCGAGCTCTTACATACACATACAATACACAAAAAGCATGTGAGAAAATCATAACCAGGCCATTAGTTTAGTTTAGCTTAAAGTCTAATACTATCGATCCAAACGCAAAGAATTGGGGACATGTTTTCCTTAATTCGCCCTTAAATTCAGTTCACACGTCCGATATCTGTTGCATAGCTGCAACTCTGGGGAGGAAACGAGGTGAAAGGGGAACATTCTTCGTTTTCTCAGTGGACGCTCCCACTCCTTTTGAGTTGAGTGTCCAAAATATCCAATAACACTTCCTGGAAAAGCCTCTCATGTAGCCCGGTCATCTCCGGGTCGACGGAAGAGTGTGTGGGAGTCTCCTGTGAGAAAAATACAAATAGTGTGAGGACTCTGTTTGATGACATTAACCCCACAATCAAAAATAATAAAAAAACGTGTTCATGGTTCAATAACCTGTTTGCTTCTAACGCAAAGTGGCTAAATTACACATTTCCAGTGAGAACAAGACGGAGGAGGCTCAGAGGGCGAAGGTGAGCCCGTCAGACTGCAGAGGACAGCGTTGGACTATTCAGAGAGACACTGGACATCCAACCTGTTTGATGGACGCACTGATGCAAGAACGCGGAGTCCATTTCCACCCTGTTGAAATGACTGGATGATCTGCACGCTTAAAATTTCACTTCTCTCTTCTCTTTCTCTGTGTAAACAGCTCGACAAAGCTTCGAAATCACGCAAAGCTGCGACGTAATGTTTTCAGTGGCGCTAATGTTGCGGTTAATTTATCACCAAATGACGTCATCGCCTGTTTGTCCGATGCTGCAGGCGTTCGGCGCTCAACACTGCACGAGCACCGAGGAGGAGGAGGATGAAGGAGGAAGGAGGAGGGGCTTGTCCGCGCCGAGGAGCAATGTCGGGGCGAAAAACTACCACAATAACTCAAATAAATGCCCCGTCGGGTATCAAAACACATTTGGGGGGAATTGATGACAAAGAGAGTCATTTTATTCCTAAATATTGATGAATAAAGAAACAATTAGGCTGCAGCAGAAGCGGCACTTTTCTTATCCAGGGCAAAGGGGCAGGTGCTTGAGCACCACGAGGGGTCTACCTGTGCACCTTCATGCTGGTAGTAGAAGACGCTGCTCGTGCGCAGGTAGACCAGCGCGTGACCCCGGAGCCGCTCCGCGCGGTCTATACGGTCCAGTTGATGACGACGTTGAAGAGGAGCAGCACCGAGAAGGACGCGGTGGAAACGTGAAAAGCGCGCGCGGGTGAGCTCGTGCTTTTGTTCCCAGACGTTAGTCCCCAAACTTGCGCTACGTTCCGTCCGCAGGACGATGAAGATGGTATGAGTCTGTCCTCCCTGTCTTCTCTCAGTGCTGTCTCACTGGAGACTGACCCCATGCGGTCAACCGCACTCTCACTCACACACTCTCCATCCGCACGCACACACAAGCTGATAAATATATATTCCCCCTCCTCATTTAGTCCTTTGGCCGACGAGGCCTGCAGTTAATGCTCCATCAACACTGCATTCATAGTGAATCTCACACACAGTTGTATTTAAAGTGTCCATTCACTTATACTAAAGTTACCCCGTGACCCCCCGCAGACGGCTGTCGTGTGTTGCATGGTGCTGCCCCCCTGTGGTCGCGGCTGCGTGTTGCATGTAGAACGAGAGAACGCCCTCAGGTTAAATCACTTCGCTGTGATTAGTAGATTCTTTTCGGAACTCCTTATAATACTAATTGTAAAGTCTGCATCGAAACCGACAGCAGAGGGAGACATCAGTTGTGTGTGTTTTGTGTTGTTGTTTTTAGGTTAGTCCAAAGTATTATTTGCCGTTACTATCGCGAACCCACCGCGCGGGTGGGTGTGTTGTGTGTGTGTGTGTGTGTGGGGGGGATTAGGCACATCAGGCTTTCGGTGAAACAGAAACTAACTTGTGTGGAGCCCACCGACACACATCCAACCGAGACACACCCGACGAAAAGGGGATAAAAAAGGTCAGAGAAAGTCTTTTATTTTAGCGTCAATATAGAGGAGCTTATAACAGTGTAATAGATACATCTGCGTGCTAGATTGGTTTATTTTACTGTAATTCACTATTTTACTGTAATGGTAATTCACTTATAGTCACTAACCTAATTATGGTTCAAATGTAATAACATTGAGAGAGAACAAGACGCTCTGGTGTCTCTTAAGTCTATCTCGCTTGTTTAACATCATTAATCATCGCCGGTGAAGGAGGAAGCTAAAGTGAGGGACACCGTTGGGGTTTTTTCCGATGCAAAACCCATACTTTTTAAACAATACCGGTGCCTAAACGGTGGCTGGACTGATACCTGACTGCTTTTTTCGCCACATATAACGTTACATTTTGATTTTAACAAAGCAGCAGGTGACTTCACATCACTCTCTGCACCTTCCCTACTTTCTGTTCGCTGGTGCACGTTATTTTTAACTTTTTATTTATATTATATTCATTTTTACTTTTAAAAGTTGTCCAGCGTCTTGTCTGGTGTTATGCACCAACCGCCAAGTCAAATTCCTTGTATGTCTTATCTCGTGTCGTTGAGAAGTGTGTTCTCAATCCTCCAGACATGGCCGTCCAGCAGCAGCCGACCCAGGTGGTGACCGTGGTGACCACCAACCAAAGCCCTGGCACGTGGAGCACCGGCGTCTGCGACTGCTGCAGCGACATGGGCACCTGTAAGTCAAACCCGGCAGTGGATCTCCGTGATGACAATGTCTGACATTTGTCACAACAGGATGCTGTGGTCACCTGTCTGCACTGTACTTGTTGAATATAAATATTGCCAGCAGACCGTGGAAAGCAACGGCCTTGTCACGTGCAACTTTAATTGGTGTTCAAGTCGAAAACAACTTCCCACCAGGGAGCAGAATGTCTGACGTGGACAAAGACCACTGCCACTAGAAACTTACCCTTTTAGGGTGAACTATCATTTATGCCTAATGAGAGATCTGTGTTAAGATAAAGTCTTTAAAGACAGTGAAGTATGGAGGAAAGATGCCGCCATGACATCAACTGTAGAGACGGTGCTTTGCCATCCACGCCTTAAATCTTCGGCTGCTCTCCAGCCACGCCGCCTGCCAAGGGCCCCTTTTAGAATAACTTATTTTCCCCGTTAAGATGGTTCAGCTACTGTAAAGAAAAGGGCACCGTCTCTCGCTCTTTAGTCTCATGAAGTGCTCGGGGAGAACGACAGCTTTGTTTCTCCGACGCGCCCTGAAAGCAGCTCCATATCTCGCCTTGAGCGCCGCTCAGAATCTCGCCGTCGTAGACAAGCTTTGGCATGTTTGGCAGAGCGCTTCATCAATTAATGTTCCACATAACAAATGTGCTGCATCATACATATTTTTATATTAATTTCAAACTTTTTAAAATTGAAAATTAAAAACATTTTGTTTATTTATTGTAAATGACCTCTCGCGGCCCACCTGGCCCACACTTTGGGAATCGCTGCAGTAAACCATAAGTGTAAAAGTTTCCTTTTTTAACACAGTTAACAGTTGGGTCACAGAGGGCAGGTGGAGGGTTGGACTACATTACATTACATTACAGGTCATTTAGCAGACGCTTTTTATCCAAAGCGACTTACATTACACTTTAAACTCGTGGCTTTTTCACATTTTTGCCCAGGGAGCAATTAGGGGTTAGGTGTCTTGCTCAGGGACACTTCGACATGGAGCATGGGGCAGCCTGGAATCGAACCACCAACCTTGTGCTTCCCAGCACACCTTCTCTAACCCCTGCGCCACGACGACCCCACATCCGGTTTCCAGCTGGAGTAAAACGACTTCAGCACACCATTTTCACAACTGTGCCCTAAGAGGACACACAAAACAAGAGTGAGATGTATCTGATCACTCTTCTCTCTTTGCCCTGCAGGTTGCTGCGGTCTTTGGTTCTTCCCCTGCATGCAGTGCCAGACGGCCGGAGACCACGGCTGGTGCTGCGCTATGCCGCTGCTGGACGTCTGCTGCGTGGTGTCCTGCCTGCTCCGCTCCTCCGTCAGAGAGCGCCACAACATCCCCGTAAGGCCCGAGGCAACCATGAAGTGCTAGCAGCACGTAGCGAGGCTTAGCAAAGAGTCAGTTGAAGAACTAGTTTTCCCACAACACAACAGTGTGGGTGGTGGTTTAGAGCCTGTGTGTAGCAGTGAGATGCAGCGCTCAGTCTGGTACTGTTCAGTGCGGATTTGCAAATATCCACATGGCAGTTTGTTTCCTGTAGAGAAATGATGAGAAGGACACAATGCAGCGTTTATGGGAATCTACGGGTGTGGTGCAGATTGCAATCAGCCGAATATCCCCTTTTATGACCTGATTCTCCTTGATATATTTAGAGTTGTGAACTGTGTGCATTGTTTACAATGGCCGCGGTGTGTCAAGCTATAAAAACAACAGACTAGTCGTGGTTTGGTGCATGAAATATTGCTTTTAGTCCATAACGTGGCCCAGTAGCCCTCTGGAATTTGAGTCGTTTTGGGAGCCTGCTCAGCAACTGATGGTTTGTGATCCATTAAGTCAGAAGATGTATATTGATATTCTGCTGTATTTTAAAAATGAAGGGATATCGATGTGTCACAACTCCGAGATGCAAAATAGACAAAGTTAACGTGAATCTCAAATTAAACATTAATGTAATCAGATCATATATAGAACCCAAGCTCTTTGCCACTTCCAAGGCATTAAAGTCAATCTACTTTGAAAAAGCCCTTCAGAACTTTATAACAGACAAGTTAACATTCAGAAATCGTTTTTTTCCTGAACAGGTACCAGCAGAAACGTGCTCCTTTAATCAGGGAGCAGGATAGGCTAAGTAATCCTACAGCGCGTGTCCCTGTTATAGCAAAGTGGACCGGCACTAAGCACACCGCTGGGATCTACTGAGCAGGGAATTCACATTCCAATGGAGGCTCATTGAAAACAAACCGTATCAAGGGAAGAAACAAGGGAAGTCTACTAGGGGAAGTGACTCCTCATGAAGGAAGCGTACATCTTATCTAGTATCTACTTATCTTATCGAGTAAAAGCGAGGAAGGGAGGGGTTGTAACCTACGTTGAACTGTCCATACCCTCATTTAGTTGCTAGTTGAAGCAAAGCAGAAATCCTTTAAGCTCATCTATTGATTAGAGCGTGTAAAGTAAGAAAGAACAATAACATAAATACAGTTATAATAATATTCACAAGAGTATAACAACGTTCATTGTGCCCTCCCCCCTCTTCCTGGCGCAGGGCTCCTGCTGTGACGACTGCTGCAAGTTGTTGTGGTGCTACCCGTGTGTCTGGTGCCAGATGAATCGTGAGCTGAAGATCCGGCGCAGACACGGAGAGACCTACACCTCGGTCACCACTCGAGGATAGGACGCCGCGGCGGAGGGCATGACACACGATTCACGTGTAATCCATCGAATCTTTTTTCTTAATGTTCTTATGCAGGGTTCACACGGCCATGGAAAACCTGTAAAAGTCATGGAAAAAAATAAAATCCCAAAAGTTTTGGAAAAGTCATGGAAATTTGTTGTGGTCATCTGTTCATGTTGTTCATTTAAGATGAGTTTGAAATAATTCAAATGCTTTTAAAAGAGAGACGCTCAAAATATAAGCAGGCACACACTCTTATACTCGCAGAAGGACACAATGCAGCGTTTATGGGAATCTACGGGTGCGGTGCAGATTGCAATCAGCTGAATATTCCCTTTCATGACCTGATTCTCCTTGATATATATATATATGACTTATATATACGCAATATAATTTAAAATACCGGCAAGTGCTTCCTACTGCATGTGCAGTTCATGGCAGTCATAGGGACTTATGTGAATTGTTTGAATGTGGGAAGTGATTTACAGAGGAAAGGTCAGTGGGGCAGTGAT